GATGATCATGCAGGGCTCCTTCTGCCGCCCTTGTTACGTTTCTTGGAGGGCAATTCCAGTGCATCCAAAAAAGTGGTTGCTTACCTTGGTGCCATCCAAGAGAACTTTCCACAATGCTCAGAACGTTCTGTTGAATATGTTTGTGTAGCCACAGGCCACAGATGGTGACAAAGCACTTGAAATGTGACAATTGAGGAACATTTTTAACTTAAGAGCTGAGCTCCTTAATTTTTAAGACACTGGTTTATAAAAAGGGCTGGGTTTAAGACACGATTTCTGATGGCTCAGCAGTTCAGTTCAGTCACTCAGTCATGTCTGACTCTTTGCAACACGGATTTCATGATATCATGGAGGATATGTCTCTATGGTGTGGACACAAGCATAGAGATAACTAAAGAATGTGGTATGCTTGCAAAACATTTCTCAATGGTTTTTTCCTGTAAGATAAGATAGATATTATGCTCCCAATTTTTCTAAGAAGCTGAGATTCAGGCAGGAAGAGCAACATGTCCAAGTTCCTATGGTCATCCATGGGAGGTGATGGACGGTCCTCCCAGTGCCTACAGTCAGTTATTCCTGTCACGCCAGATGAAAGTCAGCAGACAAGAGCAATGGGAAAGGACATGCAGAAGGTGACTTAGATGGAGCCAGTTGGATGGATGGAGACCCCAATAATGCCCATAGAGTGGCTGTGAAGAGCCTGAAAGACCCAAATAGAACACAGATGAAGGAATTTGTCTGCTTGAAACAGGGAAGCTGTGTGAAATCAGACTGAAAAAGTGAGCATGTGATTAACATCAGTGACAGATTGAGTCAGAGTACAAGTCAGGATGGGTCAGGAAAATCCTGCAGGTAGTTAGATATTTGGGAGGTTCTTCCAATGTAATCTCAGCTTGAGGAGCTGAGGACCTGGCTGTTCAGCTCAGTTCAGTTGCTCAATCTTGTCTGACTCTTTGTGACCCCATGGACCACAGCACACCAGACTTTCCTGTCCATCACCAATTCCCAGAGCTTGCTCAAACTCATGTCCATCAAGTCAGTGATGCCATCCAACCATCTCATCCTTTGTCATCCCCTTCTCCTCCTGCCTTCAATCTTTCCCAGCATCAGGGTCTTTTCCAATGAGTCAGTTCTTCACATCAGGTGGCCAAAGTATTGGAACTTCAGCTTCAGCATCAGTCCTTCCAATGAGTATTCAGGACTGATTTCCTTTAGGACTGACTGGTTTGATCTCTTTGCAGTCAAAAGGACTCTCTCAAGAGTCTTCTCCAACACCACAGTTTCAAAAGCATAAATTCTTCAGTGCTCAGCTTTCTTGTGGTCTAACTCTTACATCCATACATGACTACTGGAAAAACCATAGCTTTGACAAGATGGACCTTTGTTGGCAAAGTAATGTCTCTGCCTTATTTATATGCTGTCTAGGTTTCTCAAAGATTTTTTTTCCCAAGGAGCAAGCATCTTTTAACTTCGTGGCTGCACTCACCATCTGCAGTGATTTTGTAGCCCAGGAAATAAAGTCTGTCACTGTTTTCATCATTTCCCCATCTATTTGCCATGAAGTGATGGGACCGAATGCCGTGATCTTCATTTTTTGAATGTTGAGTTTTAAGCCAGCCTTTTCACTCTCCTCATTCACTTTCAAGAGGCTCTTTAATTCCTCTTTGCTTTTTGCCATAAGAGGTGGTGTTATCTGCATATCTGAGGTTATTGATGACTCAGCAGAACTGATACAAAATAATTTATTTTTTTTTTTTACTTCTTTTTTTTTTTCATTTATTTTTATTAGTTGGAGGCTAATTACTTCACAACATTGCAGTGGGTTTTGTCATACATTGACATGAATACATGGAGTTACATGTATTCCCCATCCCAATCCCCCCTCCCACCTCCCTCTCCACCCGTATCCTCTGGGTCTTCCCAGTGCACCAGGCCTGAGCACTTGTCTCATGCATCCCACCTGGGCTGGTGATCTGTTTCACTACAGATAATATACATGTTGTTCTTTCGAAACATCCCACCCTCGCCTTCTCCCACAGAGTCCAAAAGTCTGTTCTGTACATCTATCTCTTTTTTCTGTTTTGCATATACGGTTATCATTACCATCTTTCTAAATTCCATATATATGTGTTAGTATACTGTAATGGTCTTTATCTTTCTGGCTTACTTCACTCTGTATAATGGGCTCCAGTTTCATCCATCTCATTAGAACTGATTCAAATGAATTCTTTTTAACGGCTGAGTAATATTCCATGGTGTATATGTACCACAGCTTCCTTATCCATTCGTCTGCTGATGGGCATCTAGGTTGCTTCCATGTCCTGGCTATTATAAACAGTGCTGCGATGAACATTGGGGTGCACGTGTCTCTTTCAGATCTGGTTTCCTCGGTGTGTATGCCCAGAAGTGGGATTGCTGGGTCATATGGCAGTTCTATTTCCAGTTTTTTAAGAAATGTCCACACTGTTCTCCATGGCGGCTGTACTAGTTTGCATTCCCACCAACAGTGTAAGAGGGTTCCCTTTTCTCCACACCCTCTCCAGCATTTATTGCTTGTAGACTTTTGGATAGCAGCCATCCTGACTGGCGTGTAATGTGGTTTTGATTTGCATTTCTCTGATGAGTGATGTTGAGCATCTTTTCATGTGTTTGTTAGCCATCTGTATGTCTTCTTTGGAGAAATGTCTGTTTAGTTCTTTGGCCCATTTTTTGATTGGGTCATTTATTTTTCTGGAATTGAGCTGCAGGAGTTGCTTGTATATTTTTGAGATTAATCCTTTGTCTGTTGCTTCATTTGCTATTATTTTCTCCCAATCTGAGGGCTGTCTTTTCACCTTACTTATAGTTTCCTTTGTTGTGCAAAAGCTTTTAAGTTTCATTAGGTCCCATTTGCTTATTTTTGCTTTTATTTCTAATATTCTGGGAGGTGGGTCATAGAGGATCCTGCTGTGATTTATGTCAGAGAGTGTTTTGCCTATGTTCTCCTCTAGGAGTTTTATAGTTTCTGGTCTTACATTTAGATCTTTAATCCATTTTGAGTTTATTTTTGTGTATGGTGTTAGAAAGTGTTCTAGTTTCATTCTTTTACAAGTGGTTGACCAGTTTTCCCAGCACCACTTGTTAAAGAGGTTGTCTTTTTTCCATTGTATATCCTTGCCTCCTTTGTCGAAGATACAAAATAGTTTAAAAGCTATCTGCATACAACATGACATATTGAGAAATGTTAGAATGAGTACCCTTCTGAATGGGCACTTAATTCTCAATAAGTTAATCTGAATGAATTGGCTGAAAGAGCAATTACATTGTTTGGATTGCTGAGAACCCTCAAGAAACTGTTCATTTAAAACATATTTCTCCACAACCATCGATCTCACTACAACCCTTCCCACTTCCAACTCTTATTAGCAGCACAGGAGCTTGATTTGGTGACCATGCCCAGGACACAGGCTGCAAGGACTTTGGCCCACCGTAGTGATTCAAGGGAAGGTGTACTCCATATCCTGTGCAACCAACCAGCTCCACTACTGGTCCCTCCCTCTGTCACTTCACTGCTGGATATTCAGATCCAAGTTTCCGTGACTCCAAAGCCACTCAAAGACAGCTTATTCCCCTCCCAGAGAATTATTTTCCACACCAAGAGTTTTAGAAAATCCAAAATAATTTTATTCACTTTTTCAGATTTTTGCTTCCACAAGGTGTTCAGCAAACATGCTAAGGCGACAGAATGTCTAGTTGGTCACGACATGCAATGCTGACCATTCAACAGATGACAGCAGTGACCACGCCCACCTGAGCTACTGGCCCCACGGCACAATCAAGGTTGGCGGGAACACACCGAACCACACGGCAATCAGCAACCTGAGGTAGGTCTCTTTACAGTACAAAAACTTCTACACCAGTGTGAGACACTGATTAGCAAGAGCTGCTTAAAGTCGCAGACTTTGGAGAGAGGAAGAGACTCTGCGGCAACCGCAGGAAGAAAGGAAAACAGACCCACAAAATCCTGAACCCTGTCACTGAACTGTGGGGGTGTGGGGCCAGGCAAATGAAGAAGGACCATTGGGCCAAGCAGCAGTGGGCTCTGGGGCTTGGAACCAATGGTTTCAAGGAGCCAGAGAGTTCTGTGCATTGGCCAGCGTTGGGAACCTGAGGCAGTGGGACACTTGGAGCAGACTCAATGCTTGCTGAGAAGCAACAGCAGTAAAGAGGAAGGCAGGAGGGACACTCCCCCTTTGCCGAGGAAGGTTCTGTGATTCTCGTTCCCGGTGGAGGGAGAGGAGAGGGGTCTGGGACTTTGACCCACTGCTCTCCCAACAGAAACAGTGAGATGACAACAGGACAGAAAGCAGGAGCCCTGAGAATTCACGGTGCTCTGCGCGGCTTCCGGTGGCCCCCGCTCTGCCCCACCCCAGGGTGGCTGCTGGGAAGGCAGCAGGGGGGCTGCTGGAGGGCCGGCTACTACTACACTCCTTCCTTTCGGACACCCAGAAATCCTGGCACCGTGAAACAGCCAGCTGGGGAAGAACGCACGCTACCTTCCTATAGTCTAATAGCAAAACCAGACCTCTAGTGCAGCAGACTGTACAAAAATGATAGAAAGGAATCTGCACTGTTCTTAGCACAGTGCTTATTTTAATATAAAATAAACAGCTTACATTTTCACTGGAAATATAGGCTATGTACAGAATTATATATAGATATAGCTACACGTATAAAGCTTCATTATAGGCCTCTGATACATATATAATAACGGTTCCCTGAACCTTTTAGAGTGCAATTAAGAACAAAAACTAAATTTTGTTTACATGAATATGGAATAAATACAATAATCAAAATAGGACTCTCCCTAAAAGTGAAACACACAAGCCAATCCTGAACTGCTGTGCGAAAGATAAAATCGGGAAAGGCAAGGTTTCGGCAGGAGGATGCGGTGAGGGGCCCGCCCCAGGCAGGGAATGGCAATGCTCCAAAGAAAAGAGACGTGGGCAGTACTGGGGGAGTTAGCCCTTGACGGCGATCTTGTTCTCTGCAGCAGCAAACATGGCGTAGAACCGGGAGCTGTCGTTGGAAAGAAGGACCGATGGGGTGTCGAATTCCACCACCTGTAGAGGAAGGAGACAGCATCGGAAGGTGACTCGGGGATACTCGGGGTGTCTTACAGGATCCACTGCTCAGGAAGAGGGGCAAAGCCCCAAACCCCCTGAGGATGGAATCAAGGTGGCAATCTGGTTAGCTCTGCCATGCCCACCTGGGTTCTCTCTCTTCAACTCAGTAAATTATCCATTCCCATGATGGACTACTAGGCAGTCACCAGAAATCACACTGCAGTAAAAAACGGAACAGTGTGCTGGCAGAACCTGTCTCCCAGACAGAGGCCACATACTCACTCCCCCAGGCTCCCTTGCTGCAGGGCAAAGGTATGTGATTGGACTCTGGCCAAGGAGCGATAAGAGGACATCTCCTGGGATGCTCCTAGGAAAGGCTATCCTGTCCAACAGAGACAGGCATAGGACAAAGTGTCTTCCTGGGCGCTGAAAGTGTCTTCCATGTGATGGTATGAGGTTGGGTGCCAGAGCAGACACCCTGTACAGTAAGGGGGGAGGCAGACACTGGCTCTCTTATGGGATAGGCAGGGTTTAAGCAGGTCCACATGGGAGAGCAAGCAGAGGAAAGGGCATTTTAGGTAGATGGAACTGTATGAGTAAATACAGAGGTGGAAATGCTTAGGGGATCCAAGGTGGTTTATAGCCAACAGCACTGCAAGGAAATAGCAGGAAATGAAAAAGCCTAGGGGCCAGTACATGGGAAAGCTGGGAGCAGCAAGAAGTTTGGCACCACTACATGACTGCAAAAAGCAGATGTGTGGTGGCTGGTCTCAACAGCTTTGGAAAACCCCTGTGACTGAACTACAAGGTACACGTGCTCTCTGACCTAAGTCAAAGTGTTACTATTCATAAGCAACAAAAGAACGGGTAACAAAGCATAATGAGAACCCAACAGGCATGCTCCAGACTCAAACTCTTGATTGGGAGGACTGCATCCCATGCAAAAGGAACCAGGCTAGAGTCACTATGGCTGCTTATCTGAATGCTACAAGGGCCATCAGCCCAATCCTGCCAGGGGCCAGTTCTCCTCCCAGACAAGGCCACGTGCCAAACCAAGGTTCCTCGGGGGCTCAGTACCTGCCCCTGGGCCAGCACCATAATCCTATCAGAGCCTAGGACTGTGTGTAGGCGATGGGCAATCGTCAGCATGGTGCAGTCAGCGAACGCTTCTCGGATGGTCTCTTGGATCAGTAAGTCTGTCTCTGTGTCCATGGCAGCTGTGGCTTCATCTAGAATCAGAATCTGCGGGGGAAGAGAGGAGAAAGAGGGATCCAACCAATTCCTTAAGCATTCTAGTTAATCTAGGTTTCACCAAAATGTGTTTTAGGATTTGAATTTTATATCATACATTGTTTTTTTCTAAATAGGTACACACAAATGTAAAAATACTGTTTTGTTTAGAACTGATATAACTTCAAATTTATATGTTTGCCTTGATTTCCACAAATACGAGAAATACTGATCTAACAAACTACTCGCCTCACTTGCTTTGTGACTCTGAACAGTGATTTTTCTGGACTTCCCTTTTCCAGTTTTAACATGAGGGGACTGTATCTGATGATCTGGACATGTCTTACAGTTTTAAAATCTTTTAAGTCTATGGCTTCCAATACTACAACTACTCACAGGACAGAAACAAGGTGCCCTTGGAAACTGAAGGCTCGAGGTCATTAAAAATAAAAACAAAAAAGCAAACAAAATATCCATATACCCAAATCGTGTCAAGGTTAAACATCTCTGGGCATTCTCTTAAAAAAGTGCCACTGAGTGACTTCCCTGGTGGCTCAGTTGTAAAGAATCCACCTGCCAACACAGGAGACATGGGTTCAATCCCTGGTCCAGGAAGATGCCACACAGCAACTAAGCTGAAGCGCCACAACTACTGAGCCTGTGCTCTAGAGCCCAGGAGCTGCAACTACTGAAGCCTGTGAGCCCTGGAGTTCAAGCTCAACAGGGTTGTTGTTCAATCACTCAGTTGTGTCCTTCTCTCTGCAACTCCATGGACTGCAGCACGCTAGGCTTCCCTGTCCATCACCAACTCGCGGAGCTTGCTCAAACTCATGTCCATTGAGTCAGTGATGCCATCCAACCATCTCATCCTCTGTTGTCCCCTTCTCCTCCTGCCTTCAATCTTTCCCCCCATCAGGGTCTTTTTCAGTGAGTCTGTTCTTCACATCAGGTGGCCAAAGTATTGGAGTTTCAGCTTCAGCATCAGTCCTTCTAATGAATATTCAGGCCTGATTTCCTTTAGGATGGACTGGTTAGATCTCCTTGCAGTCCAAGGGACTCTCTAGAGTCTTCTCCAACACCAAAGTTCAAAGGCATCAATTCTTCAGTGCTCAGCCTTCTTTATGGTCCAACTCTCACATCCATACATGACTACTGGAAAAACCATAGCTTTGACTAGATGGACCTTTGTCGGCAAAGTGATGTCTCTGCTTTTTAATATGCTGTCTAGGTTTGTCATAGTTTTTCTTCCAAGGAGCAGGCGTCTTTTAACTTCATGGCTGCAGTCACCATCTGCAGTGATTTGGTAGCCCAAGAAAATAAAGTCTGTCACTGCTTCCATCGTTTCCCCATCTATTTTCCATGAAGTGATGGGGCCAGATGCCATGATCTTAGTTTTTTGAATGTTGAGTTTTAAGCCACCACAATGAGAAGCCCACACCCAAGCCCAGCAACAAAGATTCAGTGCAACCAAAAAAAAAAAAAAAAAGTGCCACTGGGCTCAGAGACAAGAATGCCTTTGGACCTTATGCCACAGGCAATGGCTATTCTTCCATCTCCCTGTGCTTCTGCTGACCCCCTTCTCTGCCACCCACCAGACTGCCTTACCTTACAGTGACGGAGTAAGGCTCTAGCTATGCACATGAGCTGCCGTTCCCCCACTGAGAAGTTATCCCCATTCTCCATCACTTCAGATTCAAGTTTCAGAGGTAGCTGAGCAATCTAGGGAGAAAGGTAATAGAGATTAGAAGGGTTAAAGAAAAAAAAAAATACCCTAAATTTTGAAAGAAAGAAAACAAAGCTAAATTTTGTTAAAAACCCAGTGGCAAAAATAAATTATTCTTAAACAGATTAAAGAATTATTAGCCAAGAATCTGGCTGACCTAGAAAGAACATACAGGTGCGATGATCATGTAGCAGGACCACATTTTCTAGGCCATTCCATATTTCAACTAAACTATCTATTAGTTTCATGTCATCAAAATGTCCCAGAAATTCCAATATTTTTATGTCCTGAAATCCTGTCATTTTTGGTCCTGAAAATATGGTCATGCAATGAGAGATGGGGTAAACAAAACTACACTCTTTCTAAAGGCCAAAGCTGTAGACCCACAGCTGTCAAACTTTTCTTCCTATAAACTATAGAACCTGTTCTTCAAATGAAATTGTTTGAAGAAGCCCAACAGAAAGGTCATGAAGGCAGAGCTGACTTAGTTGAATTTGAGCAGGAGATCCTGGGCTGGCGTGCAGGAGCACAACAGACCCCACTCCAGGCCAGGGCTAATCTTAGTTCGGGGCCCCTGGAGGGGGCCTGCTGAGTTACTCTGAGAGGTTTATATGCATATTGCATGCTTTCTGTGGACTCAAGAAGTGATAAATCTTTTGCACATATATACATGCTTCAAAAGGATGTTGTACTGTTATGATTAATAAAATAGAACTTGATTTAAAAGCATTACTGAACTCTGAGTGGTTGTCATTAATATCTTCTCAATCAATGGATGGTACAATAAAAAGGGAAATATGACCATGGGAGGGAATAAGAGAGGGGAGGTGAGGATAGGGAAATACTGACTTTTATACCCATTGTGAAATGCCTGGGAAGCCCTGCTCTGAAGTGCTCCTCCACAGACATCCTGGAGGTGGCAGGAAAGGCCCGGCTGGACAGAGGCAGCCAGAGCTCGCTGGGAAATGACCATGGCATCACCAAGTTTCTACCCTTGAAATTCTAGCAAAGTTCTCCCTCAGTTCTTTACTTACACATTCTTTCATGTGTGTCCTTTCTAGGGCATCCCAGATCTGGTCTTCAGTGTACTGGTTGAAGGGATCCAAATTTGATCTAATGAGAAACATAATAGAAATTTCTCAGGGATCCAAAACATAAGCAACCACCCTGCACAGGCTGACTGTGGTAAAGGTTTAAACAGTGGGGCTCAGACCCTGACAGCCACAGGTGGAGGCTGAGATGGGAGTACTGCCACCTGCCTGTCACAGGAATGAGCCTCCCTTTCTTCTTTACAAAACTGCATTATTATTATTATGTAAATGATACAAGTTATTTATAGAAAAATTAAGAAATAGACATAAAAAGTAAAAAAACAACAACCCATATATATATATGATCTTAGCATGTGGGATCTTAATCCCCTGACCAGGGATCAAATCCATGTCCCCTGCACCGAAAGTGCAGAGTATTAACCACTGGACCACCTGAGAATTCCCTAAAATCAATAAATGTTCAATCACTTATCAGACCCTTTAAACAAACACTGTTAGCATTTTGGCATATATCTTTCTAGATTTCTTTCTATGCATATGCATATTAAAATGCATCTTTTATATGTATAAACTCAGAGAAATGCCCTCTCTCTTCTTGTTGCACCAGGGTGAGAGCCTTGTCACTGGGCAGGGGTCTCAACAGCTAGCTGACCAGGAAAGGAGCCGATCCTGCAGGAGAACGAGGGACAAGGCTGAGCAGAAAGGGCTCAAGAGGAAGGATTTCACTGGCACCAAAAACCAGTTTGGGAACTGTTCTTGCTTAATGTACCAACAGTATCCACTTCAAGGACATTAAGATTGACACCAAAACAACAGGACTAGATAGCTCTTAAAGTGTTAAAGGCAGGAGAAGAAGCTCATTGTCGTGGAGGATGAGGCGAACAGGTGTGAAGAAACAGATATTGGGTGGAAGGTGAGCTGTAGAATTAATTTTGGGTGTCTGGTCTCAATCTAAACATCACATTTGTGGGTCCAGTAATCTTAAAGATATTAAGTATAATTTGCTTTGCTCATAAATTACACTCGAGGTGTGGGAAATAGAAAAACCTTTGGGAGAACTCTAGCTCTGATCCACACTCATCTCCATGTCTGGGGTGACTAATCCCGGGCATGCAAACACAAGCAGGTCATTACTGAAGAATTCTACCCGAGAGGAGAGTGTGGGCTGGTACATGCCATCTCTGGATTCCTGGGAGACTCACTAAGCAGTCCCACTCTCTTGTGTCCCGTCACACATGTGCTTCCCACCACTTAGAACACGAGATCACTCCCCACCTTCTGATGTGAGAGGCACTGGTAAAAAGCAAGGGCTCTGGAGCCAGATTGCTTAATTCCTTCTCAGCTTCTATCAATGACAACTGTGTGACACTGGCCAAGTTAGCCTAACTTCTCTACACCTCAGTTTCCTTAAGTGTAAGACAGGGATAAAAGAGCAGCTCTTTGGACTTCCCTGGTGGCACAGTAGATACAAATCTGTCTGCCAATACAAGGGACATGGGTTGGATCCCTGGTCTGGGAAGATTCCACATGCCTCAGAGCAACTAACCCTATACGCAACAATCACCGAGTCCGAGTGCTGCAACTACTGTAACCCGTGCACCTACAGCCTGTGCTCTGCAACAAGAGAAGCCACTACAATGAGAAGCCTGCACACCTAAACAAAGACTAGCCCCCACTCTCTGCAACTAGAGAAAGCCCATGTGCAGCAACGAAGACCCAGTGCAACCAAAAAAAGAAAAGAGCACCTCCTCAAAACGCAGTTGTGGGAACTACAATTCATGTATGTAAAGCACGTACAGGCCTGAGCAGTGTGTATGTGAGAGCTACTATTACTGCATTATTATTACATTGTTCCTGTTCCTGGCCTATGATTACTTCTCAACCTTCAGCTCTCAACTTAGCTGGTGTCTTCAGGACGTGTCTTCTGGCCCTTCAGGCCTGGATTGGGGGTTCCCCCTGCTCACCCTTATGATGGCACACATCACTGTTTCATTTGTCTCGCTCCTCCATTGGATTAGAATCCCTGTCTGGATCTTCTTCACTGTTGTAGCTCAGGTATACTGTCTAATATTTTTTGTAAGAGTAAGAACCAACTGGGCTTGACCCCTACTCTGCCTCTTACCATCTGCATGACCTTGGACAAGTCACTCCTCAGTCTCCTCACCTATCAAATGGGGAGAAAGTGACGTGACATGACCTGGTAGGTTGCTGTGAATATTAGAGACGTATAGATACAGCGCCTGGAACATGGTAGACATTTGATAGCTGGTAGCTGTTAAACTGACTGGGGAAGTGGTCACTTTAAATGCCTGGTTACACTGTTTGGTGGTTTTGACTCTTATATTTAGCACATTTTCCAAGTAGACACAATAATCCCATGATCCTGAACACCAGGATCTGAAATAGTTCCAATGAAGTCCTACCCATGGAAAGTCTAGATGGGGAAGGCTGATCTCTGCAGGCATGTCATCCAGGAAGAGCCCTCTCAGTTAAAGAAGGTGGTCTGATTTGTTGATAACCTAAAACTGAAATGGCAGACCACAGGCTAAGTCAAAGTAGAATCTCACCCATTTCTAATCAAAAAGATAAAACTGAAAGATGCTGAAAGCACCTGATTGTCCCTGTCCCTCTAACACTCTGGAGTCTGTTTGCACATGCATGGGTGTTGATGAAATCTGTGTCTATGGCTCTCCTTTCCAGCCACCTTTTTAGGGGAACTTTGTACTGATATACCACAGATCAGGGACAGACTCAAACACGTGTTCTCCATTCCAAGACTGGGGGGATAAAAGGTTAATCATTTTCCCCTGATTCAAAACAGACTGGTGGAAATTCCCATGGGGCAAGATTAGCAAGACAATGCTCTGAGAGACATTTATCCAGATAGCAATGCAAGTTTTCATAATAAAATATTCTCTCTCCTATTTGTGTGGTCTAATATGGACTTCCTCATACTTTTATAGCAGAATTCTTGATCCTGGGGATCATAGTAGGGTTCTTAGTTTTGAACCAAAATGCTCAGAGCTCTTTTTAAAAACAAAACAAGAGACTTCCCTGGTGGTTAAGATTTTGCCTTCCAATGCAGAGGGCATAGATCCCGCATGCCTCACAGCCAAACAAACAAACAAACAAACATAAAACAGAAGCAATATGGTAACAAATTCAATAAAGACTTAAAAAAACCCCACAAAACAAAGTTCCAGGACTTTTGTGGTAGTCCAGAAGTACTCATCATCCTAGAAGGGGTACCTGCTCCCATGGGAACTCATGATTGGCTTTAAACAGGGGTTATGTTTAAAGCACCTGATCAAAGACCATGCTTTGCCTGGTCTCCTGCTCCTCACCCCGCACTGTGTTCTCTATACACCTGCCCCACAGGACTGCATGCTGAAGAGTGGCCTCTGCCCATTACAGAGAGTCAACTCTTCTTCAGGCAATAGGGTCTGTGGTTTAGCACCCGGCTGCTCTGGATCTGGCTCCTGCTCTGACTGTAGTTCCCATTTAGAGCCAGCAGAACCTCTTCTTGAGTTAGAATCTACCTGTTAGCCAGCTCTGCTAGGTCAATTCCTATTGTGTCTCCATGTACCCAGGTCTAGCCTGACAGCCTGCTCAGGCTCCTAAGGTTTGAGGCCCCACCTTGCCCTGGTTTTATCTCCAAGCTCCCTGATTATGAATATCTGCCCTTTGGCTCTCAGAACACTGCTCAGTTTCTACTACTGTGATCTGTTTGCCTGTAGAAAATTTGTATTTACCTAAGGCTGGAATTCCCAGCACCAATAACTTGATAAACTGCCACCTATGGTTTGATACCTCACTTTTTGGATTTCTGGTTTGGCCCGTCACCTACTGCTCAAATCTTCCCTTTCTCTATATCTTCCTGGAAGGACTGCATAATTTTAGGCTTTAGATTTTACCACTTGTTTAGATTCTTCCCAATTCTGCTGAGTCGAGTCCTTTGAGTTAAGACCTCAATAAATATTTGTTCAAGATTGAAGGGTCCATAATATTGGTTTCCAGGAAAGGAATGTGCAGATAGTTTCTCTAGAATTAGTCTAGGAAGTATTCTCTCTCTCTTTTGGCTGTGAGGCTTGTGGGGTTTCCCAAGCTAGGGATCAAACTGGGGCCCTCGGCGCAGACAGTGAGGAGTCCTAACCACAGGACTGCCAGGGAAGTCCCAAGGAAATGTTAATACTGTATGTACATTGATGTCTAGCATCATGGGTTGAAGAGTACCCCCCCAAAAAGATAAGCTGAAATTTAATCCTCAGTACCTAAGAATGTGACTTTATCTGGAAATAAATCAGTGTAGATGGTATTAGGTGAGATGAGGTCAGCCTGGAGTAGTAAAGTAGGGTAGACTCTCAATCTAGGACTGGTGTCCTTAGAAGAGAGAGGGCTACATAAAGACAGAGACCGGGAGAGGACCCATGTGACAACAAAGGCAAAGACTGGAATGATGAATCTACAAGCCAAGCACACCAGAGATTGTTGGCAAACCACTGAAATGTAGTGGAGGCAAGGAAGGGCCCTACAGGCTTCAGAGTACGGCCCTGATGACACTTGATGTCATCCTTCTAGCCCTAGAACTATGAGAGTCAAGTTCTGTGGTTTTTAAACTACCCAGTTTGTGGTACACTGTTGCAGCATCCCTAGCACACAAACACATCCAGTATATTCATCAGATACGTCTACTAGAAAAGCAGGAAGCAAAACCAGAGTGTGGACCCTGCTCACTGAGCAGCTGCCCCATCAGACTTGGCAGACATGTGGATGGGCTTGACCTTCAACCTCGCCCAGGTCCATCACACCAGCTGAAGGAGCCCCCAAGACTAAGCCACGGGTTCCAGATATATAGGGAATATTTATGTGCACCAGCAGGTGTTGTTGTTTAGTCTCTCAGTCATTTCTGACTCTCTGCCACCCCATGGACTATGGCCCGCCAGGCTCCTCTGTCCATGGCATTCTCCAGCTAAGAATACTGGAATGGGTTGCCATTTCCTTCTCCAGGGGATCTTTCCTACCCAGGGATTGAACCTTTGTCTCCTACACTGCAGGCAGACTTTTACTGCCTGAGCCACTGGGGAAGCTCCAGCAGGTGGTATACCTACACATTAAAGCAGACCAGACTGATCTCAACAGGGACTCAATCAAGAATGAAAAAACAAAAACACATCCTCATTACAGTGGCCAGATGGTCCTGGTCTGACCCACAAAAATGAAAGCAAGAAACGTTATATATCCACTGCATCAAGTACTCAGCTGGGTGGATGGACAGAAAGAAAATCTGATAATGAAGGTTATTTTTAACAGTCAGAAGTCCTAGAGTCCTGTGTTGCCCAAAGTGTATTTTCATCTTTGGTTTTTTATATTTTATTTTTAGCAATATTCTAACCTCACCTATTGACAACTACCGAATACGGTCAAGAGTATCTCCCGAGGGGAATGAGGATACAGCAATTCCTCCCAGACACATAGGCGACTCTACGCTGGGGACTGTCCTCTGTCCATGCAGGTGCCTCCCTGAAGCCTTGGGATTTCAGGGTAGGACTATGGGACCCTCAGACCCTCTGACAGGAAGCTAAAGGAAAGCTCAAAATAGTCATTCAGAAATATGGACTGATTTTGGCTTTTAGTTAAGAGTAGAGCGTATGAAAAAGACTAAAGAGAAGAGCAGAGTTTGTGTGACAATTTTTCTCAAGAAACGGGACAGAGACCTACTGCAAATCTGAAAGCAGGTAAGGAGATTTTAAAGATACTGGAACAGAATGAACAGGATAACAGAAGGCATTGTATTATATTTTGCCAAATTAAAGCCTTATTTATGTTTTCACCCTTTCTACTTTGTCAGAAACACTGAACAGAGTTTTGTCTTTTCTAATCCTTGTTAGACTACTGATTTAAAGAGAGAAAAAAGCCAACTCTGCAGACACCTTCAGAGTTTAGTTTTATAATAAAAACTGTTTGAATAATTAGACCTTTACATTCCTGAAGATAAAATAAACATGTAATCTTTTATCTTATTTTGCTCAATAAAATTGTTCAGAAGATCAAAAGTGGTAAAGACAATGTAAAATTTAACATTTTAATACTGATGTTGTACACTGTTTTACTTAACATTTTGGGGAGTAACTGCCTCTGACTTCAACTCAAGAAAACACTTTTTGTTGCTAATGTAATCGGTTTTTGTAATGGCGTCAGCAAATAAAGGGATGCTTATTATTCAAAAAAAAAAAATAAATAAAGATACTGGAAAAAGAAAGGTAACTAACAGTCAGGACGCCTGAGGAAGCAGGCCCAATCTTAGTGCTTGGAGAGACAGAGTGCCTCTCAAGGTTATGACTGAGGAGGGTGTGGTGGGAACTTTAGGAGACAACACAGCAAGATGGGTGAGGAAGAGCCCAGGCTCTGAGCCAAATAGCCCAGATTGAAATTCTTATCTTTGGGCAAGTTATTTAACCACTTTGGGCTTTAGCTTTTTCACCTATAAATAGGCATAATAATAGTACCTACCTCATCGAATTTTGAGTACTTTAATTTTGATAAATTAATACAATTTAAATGCTCAGGACAGTAGGCCAAGTAAGTCCTCAATAAATTTAGCTAATACTATTGTTGTTGTAGCAGTGTCTGGCACAGTGTGACCTTTTTTTTTTTTGGCCATGCCACAGCTTGCAGAATCTCAGTTCCCCGACCAGGGGCTGAACCTGGGCCCTAGGAATGAAAGCCTAGAATCCTAACCACTAGGCCACCAGAGAACTCCCCAGAATGACCTTTTCCTTTTTTTAAGGACAATTTTAAAAGACCAGTTTCAGGTTCACAGCAAAATTGAGACGAAGATACAGAGATTTCACACAGACTCCCAGCCAGAAAGACTTCAACAAAACTTAGATAACATCTAGTGTTATCTAGTTATCCTAGATTTACCAATACTTGCTGACGTTAAGACTAGAAGCTTTGGGGGATTCCTTGGTTCCACAGAGACTCAGATGTCAAAAAAAGTAAAATGGGGTCCCTTAAACAACAGAATAATTCAAAGACAAATGAAAAACCTTGAGATTCTAAGAACTGCTTTAAATTTGGAGCAACTTCCATTTCTTCTAGAGCGCTAAGTGCTTCTGCCTGAAGGTGTTTTGGCCAGGAATGAACCAAAGCAGAAGTGGATCAGTTGTGGGCTCAGGTGTCTTTGTTGTGATTTTGAGTTGAAAGCTTAAGATATTCCTCAAAAGTGGACAAAAATAAAATAAATTGGGCAAGTAGAAAAGGAGAGAAAGCATCTGAACAGGAAGAAGTGAGAACACTGCTTCCTGATAACGGATGGACACTAGGTAGAGATGCTCCGGATGATGAGACGTGCTCATCCCCAGTGAGGAGACTGAGACGCAGAGACACACCAAAGTGACAGCCGAGGACAACTAGTCCCAATGAGGGGCAGACTAACCACCAGCCAAGCCAGACTGCAGACAATCCACAAGGATGGAAAGCGAGGGTGGAGGCAAAGAGATAGGCTTCCTGAGACCAGGAAGCACAGGTCCTTTGGGAAAAGAAAAGTATTGCCAGGACCATGAAAGAGGGAAGGTCAGTCAAAGTGTTTAGGTCTGGAAGAAAACGGACCTCTCTTCTTGGAGATAATCATCTCAGCAAAAGGCAGAGGAAAGCACTGGATGGCCACAGACACACAGGAGCCCTATAGCTCAAACCCAGACAGCTGGATGAGGCAGGCCTGGATGAGCTATTGGAATGGACTGGATTAGGACGAGCTATTGGACTGTGCTAATCCAGGGAGGGGTATGCCCCTAAATGATCTGGTTTATAATTTATCTGTATTTATATGCAAAACAATTCAGACATTTTTATCTTTCGAGATTCTGAGGTTTGTTTGATTTTGGTTTTACCTTGAATTCCCTTCTGATACACTTTAACTGCAAGCTGGAATCTCCAGGAGATGTACCCACCCCCAATGCTGCTTAATGGCGGTAGAGATACAGTTCCCAAATTTGGAGTCTCTAGGAGGTAGCTGAGGGAGCAGATGATCTAGCCTGCTCTTGCCTTGGGAAACTCATTACAGGTCTTCTAATTTTCTAAGAACAGCAAAAGAATACCAAACGCAGGATATTCCTTGGGATCTATGAGAAACTTGAAAGGATAAAGGAAAGGTAGAAGGTCTGGGACTGAATTTGTCCTCAGTGTCTACCACTGACTTAAAGTCAAAATTCCAGTGAGCAGAAAATGAAACTTATATGATTTCCTAGGTTTGCACAGCTGACTGACTAAAACAGTGCTCCAAGCTCAATGACTAAAAACGTAGGCAGCAGCACACCAGCCACTGAGCCTGTCCATCAGGTGGCAACACAACTCTGGAGCTGATAACAAACACCCCCGACTCCAACAAAGGCTGTGCTTCCACAATGTTCCACAAATAGCAGCCAGCAGGTCAGTTCTTAACCGTTAACTCCAAAAGCTGAGTCACAGACCTAAATGAAGTGCTGTAAAAATGTGAAACGAGCACTGATACTTCTTGGTAGCAGCATATTCATGGGAAGTCTATAACATGTCTTACTTTCTAGTTCTCTTCTACATTGTGATTTTAAAAAAATAAGAAAAATTTGTGTTTTTTTTTGTCCTGAGCCAAAAATCATTAGGCCAATTTTATTCTCAAAGGCATTCCCATGGTACCTAAAAATAGAGAGATTTACAGGAAGAGCAGATTTGGTAATCTCTCTCAATTTCTTTAGACTTAAGTCTTCAATAAATTCTTATTCTCTTTGATGCTGTTTGTTTGACCTTGTTATTTACTTACCCAAAGGAAATGACTTATCATCATCAAAACTACCTGCAATTTGGGAGACCAGGGTTCAGTTCCTGGGTGGGAAAGATCCCCTGGAGAAGGGAATGGCAACCCAATTCAGTATCCTTGCCTGAAGAAGTCCATGGGTTTGCAAAGAGTCAGACATGACTTAGTGACTAACACTTTCACTTACCACCATCAACAGAGCCAGTCCGTACTATACAAATTCACTAGTGTTTTAGAGAAATGTCCAAATGAACACATCCAAGAGTACTGACCCCACATAAATGTAGGTAAGAATTCAGTTTATCTACCAAACCTCCTCAAATCAGTGAGTTCAAATGCCATTTCTAAAAGTGGTAGGGGATGGGGGGGACAAGTCTGTTTTAAAGACAATTCTGAACACTGTGGTTATTTGAAATTGAAATTAAATTGGTACCTTTTCTTGGAAGCTGCTAAAAAGTAAAGAGGAAATGGCAATATCACTTTTACAGTGATTTTTAAAAAAGAAATGCTATCTAGGTCAACTATATGGTTGAAGCTATTTTTATTTAGAGAGTCAACTTAAATAGAAACGGACACAAATTATGGAAACCCACTGTTTTTAGGAGGCAAAAGCTTCAGGCTAGCCTGATAAAGTGCAGGAAAAGACACTGGGGTTAAACATATTTCCTTATTAGTTACTGTTATAACAGGTCAAGAGAAGAAATGTTTTCTTTGGCAATCTGGCAGATTTCAGAGAGGGGCATCATTCCAGAGCAAGAACCAAAAGTCTGCGGAAGATACTAGAAAATGAGAAACCATGAGTAGTAATAATGCCTGAAAACCATCGAGAGAACTGCAGCTCTTGATTGTCCCTAGGAGAGAGGACAGCGAGGGATGATGGTAGCTGCTTCCATGCACAGAATGCTCACCCTCTGCCAGCCTCCACACTTCTATAAAATCTGTACAAATTCATTCAATCATCACAACAGATCTTAGTAACATCCCCATTTCATGGAGGAGGAAACAAGCTTAGGAGTGGCTAAGTAACTTGTCTGAAGACAGAGAGTTCAGATCTCTCTGACTTCTTACCATCCTGCTGCAGGGCCCCGGGGTCCTGCTTTACTAATGAGGTGACTCGTACTGTGGAACTGCTCTTCCTGCAAAGGGAGCGCATGGTGTTGGGAAAGTGCCGCACCAGAGGCCACTAGATCTCAGTCCCCAGTGGGGCTCTATCCCGCTCACCTGGCCTGCAACACGGCACGAAGCACATGGTACTCACCTGACAGTACCGCTGAACAGCACCGGCTCCTGGGGAATGATGGAGAGCTTGCTCCGGAGGTCAGCAAGGCCAATGTCACTGATCCTCACTCCATCAATCTTGATGCAGCCTCCACACAACTCCACCAGGCGGAAGAGGGCCATGCCCAGAGAGGACTTCCCTGATGAGTCAGAAGACAGGCAAGAGTCATTCGATTGGCAAATTCTGGGAAGACAAAACTGGCTTCTTCTCAGGGCAACATCATCAATTTTTCTATTTCTGGTCAATCATTATTTTGATGGATAATGTAGATAACTCGGATAATGTAGAGAGTGATAGCCAGAAAAACAAAAACAAAAACAAGGAACTCTCTGGAGCTACCAAGCATATATACTTACACAACATACTGCAGCCTGAGAAGGAGTGGGAGGGACCGTTACACTCTCCTGAGAGTAAAATGGAAAAACTTCTCCTTTTCACCTTAGGCACAGGTACACAGGGTTTAATGCTTCTCAGGCAAGATCCAAGAGCTAGGAGCTTGAGGCAAGTCAGAGGACAAGCTGTTGTCCCTCTTCTGTCCCCTTACCTCAGCAGAGAAAAACAGGACAAGGCCTTTCACTGCCACGAAGCTAGGGAAGGGAGAAGTTCTAGGCTAAACACACAAGGAAAGGAGTTTTGGATTTGAGAAAATCAGTGACTGTAGATTCTCTACCATGATAGGAAAATGTAGAAAAGCAGGTATGGGAGATAAAATAGCAAGTTCAGGATCACAGTGATAGGCATAATAGCCTTTCATAATTGACTCTTCATTTAAAAAATGATATAAATAATTCAAGCAGATAACATCAATTTCCCATAATCTCACTACTGCTTTAAAAAAAAAATATGTATGTACATATCTATTTATTTATTTGGCTACAGTGGGTCTTAGTTGTGGGATCTTTTTTTTTAAGTTGCTGCATGTGGAGTCTAGTTCCTTGACCAGGGATTACACCCAGGACCCCTGCACTAGGAGCACAGAGTACCAGCCATTGCACTGCCAGGAAAGTCCTGCTTTTTTGGCACATTTCCTTTTAGTTTGTTTCCTTAAGAGTTGAGATGATACCAGAGAAATATTGTAATTATCTTCTCCACTTAACATTACATAGCAAGCACTCAATTATATTATTACCTTTTTGAGATAGTTTTAGTGGCTGCAATAATTTCCATTGTGTGGCTGTACTCTTATTTAACCAGTCCTCTAACTTTGCACGTGTAGTTTAATTAAAACTTACTAGAATAATGCTATAGGGCTTCCTAGCTGGCTCAGTGGTAAAGAATCTGCCTGCCAAGTTTGATCCCTGGGTTAGGAAAATCCCCTGGAGAATGAAATGACAACCCACTCCAGTATTCTTGCTGGGAAAATCCTATGGACAGAAGAACCTGGCAGGCTACAGACCATGGGGTTGCAAAGAGTTGGACATGACTTAGTGACCAAATAGCAGCAGCAAAATAATGCTATGGTAACCTTATCATCACTCAGGCTGCTCCTACCTCAGAAAATTTCCTTGAAATAGATTCTGAGAACTGAAACTACTTTGTTAAATATTTACACATATATTTAAAAGCTCAGTGCTCTTCCCCCATCAAAAAAAAAAAAAAAAGTTCGACATAGTCCTGTCTATCTTTCTGCAAGTCAGACCCACAATTTAAATGCAGAACTATGGGTTTTTAGCTGTTTGAGCAGTTTTCCTGGTTGTCTTTAAAAAAAAAAAAACTTTTTAAAACTAGTTTGATTTATCTATTTATTTACTTTTAAAAAATTTTTGGCCATACCCTGAGGCGTACAGGATCTTAGCTCCCCGATCAGGGGTTGAACCTATACCTCCTGCATTGGAAGCCAGAGTCTTAACCACTGGACTGCCAGTGAAGTCCCAGTTTTCTGGTTTCTTGACCCTCCTTCCCTGCTCTGCCTCCATGTTCTGAAAGACTTCTCATGGCAGACTCCTGACTGTCTACTGAGAAGTCAGTGAGGATACAAATATCTGCTTTGCCCCAGTGTCTGTAGCCCCAGACCTGCTGTCTAGATCTGACTCCTGTCAAACAATCTCTGGGAACCCCGACTGTCCATCTCCCTATGGCAGGGGTCTTCATGTCCATCTGTGAGTTGGGAAACCTGAGTCCATGTAGCAGAACAGTTCTGAAGGAGCCTCTCCTCCTGGGAGTAGCTTTTTCAGGACTGAGGGATCTGGCTAGTGGTCTTTTACCCAGGTAGAAGGGAGGAGGTGGAGGGCCCCCTTCAGTGCCAAGGCAGTGGTTCAAGATTTAAGGTGCTCAAATAAATGGTGCTCAAAGGAAGGAATGGTGCTCAAATAAATGATAAGCACCATTTATATGAGTACCATAAATCTTGAAGGAATGGTGGAAGGAATGGTGCTCAAATAAATAGGTTAAGTTGTTCTGTTTTAAGAAAAGATCTGAGTCTAGACTACCTTTGCACAGATGGAATGTGCTGGTAAAAAAAGCCATGATGTCCTCACAGCGGTTATAACCACGGCAGAGAGCCAGGACCTATGTCACAGTCTTGAAAGAAACTTATTAGGATTACAGTTTAGACTTTGTACGTCAGGCTATTCAGAATTATTTTATTTTTGTTTATTTCTCATCTGCGTATACTTTAATAGAGTCTTGGCGAAGATCCTGATCTGTCTTACTGTATTCAAAGGACATCACAAGAAGGGAGGCCAGAGGTTTCGGGGGAGCAGTGCAGCCCTAGGGCGCCAGTGCAGCAGAGGGAATCGATGGGAGAGGGTGAAGTAAGAGCCGTGGGCGTCGTCACCTCACGGCTGGGCATTCTCTCTCCAGTGTGAAAACCTAGAGGCCATGTCTTGTTTTGACATGAAATAATGCCTTCAAAGAGGGAGCAGGAAATAGCTTTTTCTTTTCTGCTTACCACATTCTTTAAAGTAAATTGGCTAGAAGAGACTTTTTTTTAATGGCTAGAAAAAAAAAAAAGCTAAAGGAGTTTTGATGCCAAGGGAGCACAGAGCCCAGAAAGCTCAAGTGAAGTGATTCAGAGAAAACTCTCACACAAGGGTGAACAGGTTAGTGAAGGAAGACAAGACTCAATCTTGAAATGTTATTCAGGAAAGAAAGAGGGAAAGAAACACACTTCTAAGAATAGTAGGGAACTAAAATGCCTAAAATGATGGCCTATTCTCTGTTTCTTTACAACTGATGTCAGATCAAGAAAATAATGCCTTTTTTTTTTTTTTTAATTTCTGTCTTCAAAGGAACATAGATTCCTTATTTAGAGCTATGTTGCCTTCTAATAAACATGAGACTATACTTGTAACACATCACAAAGACCTTAAGCTTTTTGTATATTTTGACTTCATAGAAATAAGGATGTTACTGTGGTGCTATTCATAAAAGCGAAAAATTGACAACAACTCACTGCCCTTCAATTGGATATGGGTTAATATAAATTATGGTACATCCATAAAACAGAATTTTATGTCATATTGCATAGAAATCATGTCATAGAATATTAATTGACATGGAAAATATGTGGTAATTTTATAAATAGACTATGAAACAGTGTGTGTAAAAGTACCATATTTTTGTAAGATACATTTGTTGATAGCCTAATAAGATATCCGCCAAAATACTAGCAGTTAATTATCTCTGGGTAGTGGAGTTATGGGAACATTTCACCTTTTGTACTTTGCTATACGTTTCCAGAAATATATCTACTTCTGCTTTATTGACTACGCCAAAACCTTTAACTGTGTGGATCACAACAAACTGTGGAAAATTCTTCAAGAGATGGAAATACCAGACCACCTGACCTGCCTCCTGAGAAATCTGTATGCAGGTCAAGAAGCAACAGTTAGAACTGGACACAGAACAACCGACCGGTTCAAATTAGGAAAGAGTGCATCAAGGCTGTATACTGTCACTCTGCTTATTTAACTTATATGCAGAATACATCATGAGACACGCTGGGCTGGAGGAAGAACAAGCTGGAATCAAGATTGCCAGGAGAAATATAAATAACCTCAGATACCCAGATGACACCACCCTTATGGCAGAAAGTGAAGAGGAACTGAAGAGCCTCTTGATGAAAATGAAAAAGGAGAGTAAAAAAGCTGGTTTAAAACTCAACATTCAAAAAATTATGATCATGGCATCTAGGCCCATCGCTTCATGGCATATAGATGGGGATAGAATGGAAACAGTAACAGACTTTATTTTCTTGGGCTCCAAAATCACTGCAGATGGTGACTGCAGCCATGAAATTAAGACGCTTGCTCCTTGGAAGAAAATTTATGAGAAACCTAGACAGCATATTGAAAAGCAGAGACATTACTTTGCCAACAAAGGTCCGTCTTGTCAAAGCTATGGTTTTTCTAGTAGTCATGTATGGACATGAGAGTTGGACCACAAGAAAGCTGAGCACCAAAGGATTGATGCTTTTGAACTGTGGTGTTGGAAAAGACTCTTGAGAGTCCCTTGGACTGCAAAGAGATCAAACAGCCAATCCTAAAGGAAATCAGTCCTGATTATTCATTGGAAGGACTGATGTTGAAGCTGAAGCTCCAATACTTTGACCACCTGAGGTGAAGAACTGACTCACTGGAAAAGACTCTGATGCTAGAAAAGATTGAAGGCAGGAGGAGAAGGGGACGACAGAGAAGGAGATGGTTGGATGGCATCACTGACTTGATGGACATAAGTTTGAACAAGCTCTGGGACCTGGCAATGGACAAGGAGGCCTGGCGTGATGCAGTCCATGGGGTTGCAAAATGTCAAACCTGACTGAGCAACTGAACTGAACTGAAACGTTTCAAGTGCTCTGCATTGAGAATGTATACTTTGATGATTAGAAAAACTATTAAATGTTTTGAAGCAGTGCTGAAAATAAACCTCAAAAAGTGGTTTCAGAGACCTGAGACACTAATTACACATCTAACAGGAATCTGGTTTGAAGAGATGAGAGTGATACTCAATAAACAGCAAATCATGGGCCCTAAACTTGATTCTGGTTGATTTAAACGTTTCTTCAGAGACGCAATTCTTACCTGATCCTGTTCGACCCACAATGCCAATCTTCTCCTTGGGTTTGATGGTGAAGGACACTTTCTTCAGGACCAGAGGGAGATTTTCTTGGTACCTCATCTCTGCATTCTCAAAGGTGATCTCTCCTTCTTGGGGCCAGTCAGGGGAGGGAGCCTTATTCTTAATTCTGGCAGGTGCTTCCAAAGATAGAGTCTGGAGAGACAGAAAAGGCCAGTTCAGACTGACCACAGATTCTAGGGTAGCTGCAAGGCTTTCACAGAAGTAAGACCAGGATACCCACAGCAACAACAGAGACAGCTGCTGCCCTGTTCCCTAGCTGTGAAAGAGTCCCTGGCAGTAAACATTCATCACCAATAAACTAGACAGAAACAGAGAACAATTGCCTCTACCCTTGGCAGTTTATAATGGCCTTCTATCCCTCTTCAGCCACAGCAGATTTTGGTGGAATTCTTTGAAAACATTCCCCTTGAAACAGGGTTCCATCATTTGAAAACCAATGGCCTAAACCCAAAGGAGCAAAACTAGCATTCATGGAACATTTAATGAGAGCCTAGCATCCTGAGCCATCTCAGTTAATCCAGGAGACTCAGACACTAATCCCAACTCTACCACCAACAGCTGTGTGAACTGGATATACCAATTCTTCAATCTTTGTCTTAGTTTCTCATCTGTAAACTCTAGGGACTGGATTAGATGATTTTAGAAATCCATTCCAGCTTAAAAATGCTTTAATAATAATTATTGGGTAATTTTGGTCATCTATAGTCACACCTCCCCATGTTTTTAAAACTCTCTGGTGATTAGTCATGGAGCCTATAGCCTCACAGGGAAGTAAAGGTCAAAGACTGCAGTGCTCTGGTGGGTTAGGGTAGGGACTCAAGTCTAAAACTTGGTGTTGGGACAGGCTTCCAGGTTGTGGACAGGCAGCAGGGAACCAGTTCTCAGGAATGTTTGATTTGTGCAAAGTACACTCTGTACCATGGCTGACCATCACCCTGACCTTTACAGCAAGAGACCTACACCAATAGTGATACTAAATCAAACACAACATGTAATACTCACAAATTGCCCACAGACCAGAGCACCCAGCCAAGAGGCTCATGTATAAACATAAATGGCTATTAGCAGGTTTATCAGATAGCTGAAACTCTAATACTTGGGCCACCTCATGAGAAGAGTTGACTTATTGGAAAAGACCCTGATGTTGGGAGTGATTGGGGGCAGGAGGAGAAGGGGACGACAGAGGATGAGATGGCTGGATGGCATCACCAACTCGATGGACATGAGTTTGAGTAAACTCCAAGAGTTGGTGATGGATAGGGAGGCCTGGCGTGCTGTGACTCATGGGGTCGCAGAGTCGGACACGACTGAGCGACTGAACTGAACTGAACTGATCAGATAGCTATCTGCCATTCTTTCTGATAATAATCATTTATAAGTTTCAGAAATATCCTACAACTGATCAGGTTCATTGCCAAATCAGTGGGACATGTCTCTGCTAGAAAAAAGCAGTTATATAACATACTAGTTCTCAGTGAAAGGGCAGTTCTTCAAAACAGTGTTTCTAAGTCAACATTATAGTTGGAAGTTGAAATGTATTCTGCCCATGTAAATAATGATATAAATGAAGATAAAGTCTCTGGGCAGTTTGCAAAATAGGTAACTCCTGAGAAATGAGTTCAACGTGAGAATGTTAACTACTCAGGACTCTGCTTCTCTCTACAGAAAACTGCTTTCAGAGTTTGAACTAGGAGGAAGACACTGTCCCACTGCAGGATTGCAGGGGTTCCTGGGGGAAGGTGGGAAGAGCTGGATCATCTCAGTACCAATACAGTTAACTGGTTTCTGAACTGTGAACACAGTATAGAATTAGGCATGGAGCCTTTGAAACTCCAGAAGTCTGGGTCCTATCCCAAACCTATTGCACCAGAATCTTTAGAGATGAGGCCCATGCTAGTCTTTGCCTCAAGTTCCGTATGAGATTCTGATGGCCATCCCTGGTTAAGAACCAAATGAACTAGACTAAGACTTGAAATAACACCTGGTTTTAAATAGTATAAGGAAAATATTACATTAGTCTGCTTAACTGAATTAATGAGGTTAGGAACACTTTGGAAATTAGCTGATGAATGTAAGCTCTCAATCAGACACAATTCACAAATATACTTAGAAAATCTTATGATATTCTCTTTTGCATTCCATGCATACTGGAGAGATTGCTGCCTCTCCTGTGGGACAAGATGAGGCAGAGAAAACAAGCATCTTCCTGGGACATTCATTCCAGGCGGTAAAAGGGTAAAACTGCTGCATGAAAAATCATATTGCAGCAGAAGGCCTGTAGGAGCCTGACCTTGATGTAGTGGTTAATCCTCTCCACTGAGGTGAAGCGGGCTTCTGTCTCCGATGCCAGTCTGACAGTAAACTGGAACAGCCCTGTCAACTGATCATGGAAAACAACAATCCAAGAGAGAATTTATTATTAATATACACCAAGGAAATGCCAGCAAACCTCCTTCATCTAAAGGATCACAACTCAATTGTGAGAACTAACTGTGGATAGACAGCAGCTGGCTTTAGGGACCAGATCATTCTTTAAATGTTTAAGACAATGCCTAATAGCCCGCAGTCAACTGCAACTCTCAGTGAATCCAGGTGGCACTGCAGTACTGGCACTAAATTTTCTATCTGTTTTTACATTTCTAGAAATTCAGCTGTAGCTGAATAACTTCTAGGCTTCATAATTGTACCTATACCTGGATATAGCAGCCACAATAAATGAAGTCTGTATCAACCTGTGAGCAGCAGTGAAAATGCTTCCAGGAAGGTCAACAGAAACGAGGCTGGGCCAAAACTGAATGCAGAGCCCCAGTCTGTGTACCCCAGACTGAGTACTCTGAAACAGAGTATATGTAACACAGATGTCTCCCACCCCTCACCCCCAGCCCTTCAAGAATCAAGTTAAGTCTGCAAGACATGGACAAATACCTTTGAGTATCTGTAAAGATATAGCTCTCTTCTTAGGTTTCCTCTGGCCACTTATTTTTATCTTTCCAATATAGAAAAATGTCAAACATATACAAGAATAGAGAGGACAGTATAACGGGCTCCCACGTATCAGACATTCACCTTAAAAAAATTACCAACTTAACAACCACCACTGTTTCATCTGTACCGCCCCATCCTTCCATATATCTGGAGTCAAATCTCATATAGCCTAAATCTTATCCACAAATACTTCAGTTTCTCTCTCTCTAAAATATAAAGTCTCCTTGAAAATCATTGCCACATCTGAAACAAGTTAGTAACAATTCTTTATCATCTTTAACTATCTAGTCAGTGCTAAGTTCCCAGTTGTTCTTTGAGCTACTTGAAGATCTTCAACCATCCCTAAGAACTAAAAAGGTTTATGTATGTAATAGTATTGGGAAAATTTGGGGCCTGAAAATAAAACACACAGAAGTAGTATATTGAGAATATGTATTTCTTAGAAGACTAGGGAGAGGCCAGAGAAGAAAGAGGAGGGAAGACATAAATCTACAATTAATAAACAATTTTCAAAATGTTTATTTAAGAAAAAAACAGCACCTACTTCATAAACACATGCAACAGAGTTAAATCCCTTTATTCCCATAGAGTCAACCTTTAGCATTAGTGGGGAATTGGTTTCAGGATTCTGTCAAAAATCCAAGGATGCTCAAGTCCCTTATATAAAATGGCCTAGTAATTGCCTACAACCTACAGACATCCTCCTGTATCCTTTAAGTCATCTCTAGATCACTTCTAATACCTAATGCAATGTAAAGACTTGGTAAATAGTTATAAATACAAAGTGCTACATAAACAGTTGTACATCTATAGTAAATTCAGTTTTCGGAACTGTCTGTAATTTCCCCTCCCAAATATCTTTGATCTGCAGTTGGTTGACTCTATGGATGCAGAACTCGGGGTTGTGGAGGGGTGACTGTGTACCAGTCCACAGTGCTACTGCCAAAACACATGGGGAGAAGCTCTAGGAGCCAAAGGTAAAACAATAGTTTAGGGCAGAGCCACCTGCCAAGTCTCTCCTAGGCCAAAGTATGAGAAAGACAATGCCCTCATCCCAAAGACTAACCTGCACAGCATAGGAGATGGCAAGCCCTGCGTAGGCCGGGGGAATCTGCCCGTGCATGAGAACAATCATCAGCCCAGTGGTGGTGATCAGGGCAATGCTGATGAGGTCCAGCCGCACCGCCAGCCACCGCATCGCACAAGTGAACAGGAAGAAAGGACTCTGGTTGTTATCCAGTAGCTCCTGGTACCTGTGAGGAAGGACAGAACACCTAATAAAGTAAATAAAGTGCCACACAACCCTAGTCATGGAGGATGCGAAAGCACTGGTGAGTTCTGGGTAGAGGGCTAATACTAAAGTATAACACCACTACTGCTTGTAACCAGGAGAGTGATATGGAAACTTAAGGAGTGCAGAATATTCCAGGCTCCACACACAGGAAGACATGGGGGGTTTCTAGTTTTACCCTTTGAAAGAAACATATTCAAGATACTAGGAAAAACATATCTACTTCAACAGCACAGGGAAAGCAGAAGGGAAGAAGACCAAATAAAGAGGCTGTTTAAGCTTTAGAGAATTGTTTAAGCTTTAGAGAATTGTTTTAGGTCAGTGGTCATTTTCTTGAGGAAAGAGAGTTTACAAATGCAAACTGGAGAATTGGCACAAGAGCAGGAAAAAGACTCTTGGACTGAATACGAGAAAGTGGAAATGGTCTGCTGACAGACTGGTTTCCCAAGGCCATGGAGCAAAGCACCAGAAGCAGTGAGTGAGTTAAACCAGAACAGAAAGACCGAGACAACCTTTGTCACTGCAGGAGGGAGACCCTCTGTCATCAGGGGTCCTAGAGAGCAGCTCTCACCCCACTTGAGGGTCTGGGGTCACACACAACTAGAACTCCAGAGTGGGAGGCCTGGGTAGGCAAAGATACTTTGTCTCAAAGAAAATCTCTTTCCTCCTTATAAGAAGATATGTGCACTTTAGAGAAAATTTAGGAAACACAATAAAAAAAGGGAAATGTAAAATTCCAGTGCTCTCACCACTCAGCTAAAACCAGAATCCTGCATTTCCTCCCAGTATTTTTTCCAATGCCCTCCTGTTTATGTGGGTACATACCTACACATGTACAGAGTCAACATATTTTACATTTTTTTTGCTTAAAGTTAGGATACATTTTTCAGAATTATTTAACCAAAACTTCCTATGCTAGAGTTACTTTTTAATGCTAATTACTTAATTTTTGGAATGAACTATATACTCTATAAGACAGAACATTCACAAGGTACAGAAGGTTTTACCATGAAAAGTCAGTCTTTCTCCTGCGCTCCTCCAGCTACTCACTTCTACTGTCCAGTGGCAGCTATTAGTTTCCTGTGTGTCCTTTCAGATATTTTAAATGTTACAGACACATATTTAAAGGGAGCAAACTATACATGCACATCTGTATCTTGCTCTTTCATCTAATATAACTTGGAAATCATTCCACATCAGTACCTAGGAAGCAGTCTCATTCTGTTTAGGGGTCACATAATATTCCATTATACGGGGACACCACAGCCTATTTAACCAGTCCTCTACTGAAGGACATTTAGTTTAGTTCAACGTCTAGTTAACATAAATCTCCAGAATGACTATAAGTACAGAAATTTCTCACACAAACAATATTAACAGCTAAATAAAATGTCAATCTATTGTCTATGAATATCTTACTTTTCCAAGAAAAAAAAAGGAGCAAAACTCTATCAAATATAGCCATTCAGAACCGAAAGCTAATAGACTCCAAATCTGTTTTTGTCTTCCCATTTGCTCAGAAGGGAGTTCCACCAAGCAAGTGAATCTTAATCAGCAGAGATCATTAAATCACTAATACTCTTAGTAATGAGCTTTATAATCCCCAATTCTGACTTTGAAAGGCTTCTTAAACTCTCATTAAATGCTGAGATGCTGGCTCCCTGATGAGCCCTCTGGCCCCCACGGAACTAACCTGTGTAGAAATTCCTGCCCTTTGTTGTAGGCGTGGATGGTGGCAAGGCCCTGTATGCTGGATGTGATGTGGGAAAGGAAAGGTGACTGCGTGATATTATCCAGACGCTTTAGTTCTCGGATCAGGACCCTGGAGACAGAAGGAGTTCTGTGTCAGAGGGGTGGACTGGCAACTCTGGCTTCACCCTTTGCACTGAAAGACACAAAGACTTCCCGTTTACCTGGAGACAATGTGCAGAATTGAAAAGAGGATGACAAGGGGTCCCACTGCCACGAGGAACCATGGGAAAACTCCCGCAATCATTCCAACACAGAAGAACACCAAGATGACGTTCTGAATGAACATCTCGGCCTGGAATGGCAGGCGCACATCGACTGGGGAAACGGTAAAGGAACATGTGTCAGATGCTGGGATCCACAAATAGCCAGAGTTTTTAAAAAACAAAAAGAGGCTCCCAAAAAGCCATATCTGAAATTTGTGATTTTTTTGTCTTTTAAACAGTCTGATCAAAGAAAAATTTGGTAATGTAGTTGCTCTAATTTTTCTTGTTCCAAGAGCATTTAAGCGATCTTTCTCACCTGTGCCCTCTTTTTGGATCACTGTGCTGCCCAACCCCCTTAAACATTTCCTCCATTTTGCAAAGTAATATATGTTTGCTATAAAATATTTGGAAAATAAATATGCAAAAAATTAAATAAACATAGTCTTATTCTTACCAATATGAATGAACTGCTGCTAACATTTAAGAAACTTTTCATGGAAAATTTTAAACATACACAAAAATTTTAAACATACACAAAAACTGGAAGAGTATAGAATCTCTAAGAGTTAACATTTTCTTCGCCCATTTAGGACATCTCCCCCCACCTATTTTCATACAAATCTGAGACACATTGATACCACTGATTTTCTTCAGTCTCTTTTCTATTCATCTGTGCATATGTGAGTTTAATACAAATGTGATCATGTCACACACATATGTATCATTGTTTTGTGTATCAGTGATGGTTTTGATCTCTTATTACCTCTGGCCATAGCTATACATTAGCCTATCAACATCAGAAACAAACTCCTTCTATGGAGGCAGCATAGTAAGTAGTTAAAAACATTCATTCTGGGGTCAAAAAGATCTGAGCTCAATTCCCAGCTTGCTATTTAATAGTTGTGCAATCTTGAGCAAGTCAACCTTTCTAGACATCAGCTTTCCCATGCTCAGTGGGTGAAATGATACCCACACCTCACAGGGCTGCTATGATGGCTAGGATAGTACATGTAAAACCGCTTGTAACACAGTAAGCCCTCAAAAATGTCAGGTAGCATCACTATTATTATGGGCTATGGAAGTACAGCTGACCTTTGAATAACATGGGGGTTAGAGACACAGACCACCCACGCAGTAAAAAATCTGCATGTAATCTACAGTCAGCCCTCCATAGATGTGGTTCCTCATCCACAGTTTCATATCCTCAGACTCAACAACCAACCTGCTGTTCAAGGGTCAAGTGTATTTAAGTTGTGGTGCTGGCACAGCCCAAGAAACAATCAGTATTTGACAAACCTGTCAAGAGATTGTAGGTGTCCAGGAACCTACGCACCACTCACAGGTAAATATGTCTTTTGGACTCTCAGATACCATGTCCAAAGCCTTTATGCTCAGCCCTCTGAACTGGTTTTAAGGTTAAATAAGATCAAATAAGAGCTCACATGAAAGATGAAAAATTAGATAGGTCCTTAGCCTAAAGAGAAATTGCAACATGGAAAAAATGCCCAAGCTAACATGTTCCTGATGCAAATATTGCGGCCACTGTGCTGGGTGGTTCGTGCTCTGGAGTACCACAGAGAGAAGCAGTGAGAAATACCTTCATCCATGTCTTTGGAAAACCTGTTGAGAATTCTTCCCGTGGGGGTAGTGTCAAAAAACTTCATAGGGCTTCGAAGGATTCTTCGGAAAAGCTCATCATGGAGCCGGGAGGAGGCTCGCAATGTGCCCTGAGGAGCAAAGTACAGAGTGATCAGAGACCCAGGACTCAGCAGGCCCAGTAACTAATCCACAGGTCCAAAGCCAGAGAAGGGCAAGTGGCTGTGGAGGAAGGAGGTAGCTAACCGGAAAGGGCTGAGGCTGACAGGATGTAGGTCACTTTGGCAAGAGGCATCCTGCTTCAGTGGAGCTCCCCAACTCAGAATAAACCCAAGAGGTGCCAGGCAGAAGCCTGACCACACAGCCACTGGCGAGAAGAGGAGCAGAGGCCCCAGTGCATACCTTGACAAAGACCACTCCGCGAATGGCTTTTAGGATCAGCATGACTGCCATGGAGAGGGCGTAGATGCTGGCATAGTAGTGCATGAGAGGATTGTCCTTCATGCTGTTGCTCACAGACGTCCTGTTTTCTTGAGTCACCGTGGTGTTCTGTTTGGAAGCAAGGTTCTGTGAGGCAAGACCCTCAGGGACATCCAAGAAGCCCTTGTCAGGGCCACTCTTGGCTCAGGCAGGGTACAGGATACAAATTCTGGGAGCTGGTGGAGACAAACACAAGGCAGGCTTTGCCTGTTCCCCCTCTCTTCTCTAATGACAACAGACAGCCTATAGGTGTGCACCTGGTAAGCACTACTGCTCTGTGAGTTGGTCAGGGAGCAACTACCTGGTGAGGTTACATTAGGGACTCATCTCTTTAATCCTGGGTAATCTTTGTTAATTACCTCCTTTAACAGAAAACTAGAGCACTTTCCCTAAGAAGAGCCAGGAAATATGGAGAGATGGCCATATTATTAGACGTATAACTTTCCCATCAATGAGGAATCTTACCCCACTTCCTTGCTTGATCCAGTAACTCAACCACCAGTTGCTGAAAGCAGTGCTGCCCACATTCAGCATGAAAAGGGACAGAATGACCAGGAATGCCAAAGGGCCCCCAGCAGCCTGGATGTAGACACCATACACTGACCAGGGCACAGAACCCTGCCCCTTCTCTTCCATTTGCACGAGCTGCCCTAGGTGAGGAAAAGAGAAACACGAATTCAGAAAGGAAAAGCTGCTTTTCTAAAATGAAGTCACCTGTAGAAGAGTAGAACCAAAGCGAGCCTACAGTTTCACAGAGCTCTAGGTTGGAATTATTTCCCCCTTTCAAGGAGCATTCATTTATCCATTTAATATCTATCTATTAGGCACCTACTATGAAGTAGGCCCAGGAATAAGCCGTGGAGAGGCAAAGAGGATTAAGACCAGGTCCCTGCCAGGAGATCTGGCTCAGATCATCCACAAACAGGTAAATAAGAACAAAATTATAATAAAATGTGCTAACTCCAATGCTGGAACACTTGCAGGGCAGCATGGGAACATTCAGGAAGTGCACCTAACCTACTTGGGGGAGCTGTGAGGGGCTTAGCCGGGAGGTTCCAGGTGAGACTTTCTATGTAGTCCATATTGTGTCTTTTTTTTTTTCTAGCTGCACAGCATGACTCGGATTTTAGTTCCCCAATCAGGGATTGAAACTGCACCCTCCGCAATGAAAGCGTGGAGGCCTACCCACTGGACTGCCAGGGAAAATCCCCATATTGAAAGGTAAGCCAGAATCAGCCAGGTGGGGAAATGATGGGCGTAGGTATGAGGAAAGAAGAAATCAGTATACACGGATATCCAATTCAGCATGGCTAGAACATTCTGTGTGCCTAAGGAGTGGCAGGAGATAAGGCTGATTAAGCAGGCTGTGGTCAGAGGATAAAGGCATTTGAACATTATCCTTCAGACAAGAACTTCTCAAGGGAATGGGCTACAGGGGTGTAGAGATTTGACTCCCAGCCCTACTGCAGGAGATGGGCCTGGGATGGCCAGACCAGCCACCTCATGCAGTCTCTTTCATGTGCAGCATCTCAGACAAAGAATGGATTTTCTATGTGTGCCACATCAGGTTTTCCTGATTTTAAAATGCTGCTTTGAAACTGGGAAGCCACTGAAAGGCCTCAGGCCCCAGGCAGTTGGCTGGTCTCCTGTTTTGAACTAGATCTCCTAGTTGTTCATGTGGAGGACAGATTTAAAAGGAGGCAACTGTAACAGTCTCGGTGGGAGATGATAAAGGCCAGAACCAGGGCTGTTTTCTTGGGCTCCAAAATCACTGCAGAAGGTGACTGCAGCCATGAAATTAAGATGCTTGCTCCTTTAAAGTAAAGCTATGACCAACCTAGATAGCATATTAAAAAGCAGAGACATTACTCTGCTGACAAAGGTCTGTCTAGTCAAAGCTACAGTTTTTCTAGTAGTCATGTATGAACGTGACAGTTGGACCTAAAAGAAAGCTGAGCGCCGAAGAATTGATGCTTTTGAACTGCGGTATTGGAGGAGACTCTTGAGAGTCCCCTGGACAGTAAGGAGATCAAACCACTCCATCCTAAAGGAAATCAGTCCTGAATACTCATTGGAAGGACTGATGCTAAAGCTGAAGCTCCAATACTGTGGCGCCTGATGTGAAGAACGGACTCATTGGAAAAGACCCTGACGCTGGGAGAGACTGAAGGCAGGAGGAGAAGGAGATGACAGAGGATGAGATAGTTGGGTGGCATCACTGACTCGATGGACATGAGTTTGAGCAAGCTCCAGGAGTTGGTGATGGACAGGGAAGCCTGGCGTGCTGCAGTCCATGGGATCACAAAGAGTCGGACATGACTGAGCGACTGAACTGACTGACTGAAAACCAGAGTTGTGGCCATGCAGATGGAGTATTCAGGAAGTAAATTCAGATGGATGGGGTGATTGGCTGTGGGAGGAGAAAAAACATTTAAGGTTATTTCCTAGGGACTCCCAAGAGATTGATGTTGACAAGAGAATATAGAGAAAGCCCCATGGGAAGCCTCTGCCTCTTTATCACACATGCTATGTAATTTCTTGGAACAAGCCATGCAGGCCTCAGCACTTTACCTCAAGAGTCTCTAGGTCACATGTCCCCTAAAGACATTGTTTTTTCCTACTGCCTGTGGCAGGAATTGACAGATGTCTCAGCCTTCTGTGCTGTGTTTGCTTTGTGAGAGTAAGTTATCTCCAATCACACCTGAATTCAAGAGCTCATACAGGGCTTATTAAAAGAAAGAAAAGAATCAGTATGGTCAACTCCTAACACCCAATGTCTGCTGCAGTTTTAAGACCAAGGAAATGAAAACAACACAGCAAACCAAAAAAAAAAAAAGTCCTGAATTCAACATGTCAGGTGAGAAGGTAAAAGAAATAACTTTAAAACAGGAATGCATTTCTATTTATTATTTACAAAAGTGAAAATGCCCAAGGTATTGCAAACAGCTTCTCTAACTCTCAAGATTTGTTTTGATTGATAAGATGAAGAGTTTAAAAAACAGGACCAAGAAGTCTGGGTAGAAAAATCAAGTAGGAAAAAATCTTGGCTGTAACTCTTCACCATAGCTCTGCTGCTGCCTGCTTGGGACAAGCCAAGGAGTGATCGTTGTACCAGGGGAAGGGGCAGAGGGGGGTTAACTGAGGATGTGGGCATTCTTAGAGCTGGCATGCCTCTGCTTTGGTTGGCATGACTTTTAAAGAGCAGAGATGAATCACAGGAAAGAAAGGTATACCTCTACCCATGATTCAATTTTTCCTTAGTCAAGATGACTCAGCTATGACTACCTACACCTCACTCCACTCTGCATAGCAAAAAAAGGCATAGGAGTAAAGGTCATTTTTATTGCCTTGGTCTGTTTGAGCAAACAGAAGTTGCCTCATGGTCTCCCAATAATCATATAAGAACTTGTTATTCTAGAAATACAAGGCCAGGTGTTCCACAACAGACCTTGATTATCAGGCAGGATGAATTGCTACATGGCATAATTTCTGATAAACTTTAATGACACACTTTACATCATTTTTCTGCACTGCCATGCTGGCCCTCACGAATGCCCTGGCTGGCTGATGACCTCAAGAGCATCATCAAAGCTAAAAAGAGAGGCAAGCACTAGGTTCTTACTAGTCCATGTGCCACAGTCATCATCAGGGTTTTGACTTGATGGTGAAGTGTGGTTATAATGGCAAATTTAACTGATGATCACAGGGCTGGGAAAATTGCTGTGAACCTCATGGGCAGGTTAAACAAGTGAGGAGGGATCAGCTCCTGATATGATGGGCAACTCAAATATGTGGAAAAACGGGAGCCCACATCCCATCATTTTCATTGTACTGACAATCTCATCTGGCATTACGGACCATGAAAAAGCAAGTGTGTGAAAAGAGGGAAAACCATGAGATCCTTTTTCTAGGGATGTAATGCATATATGCAAATAAAATGCCAAAACAAAACAAAAGCAAAAACTTTAATGTCAATTCTCAAAAAGATTCATTACCTTCCTCTGGCTTCACTGCTTTCTCCTTCTTTACTGATCCTGTTTTAGGACCCTTCTCTTGTGTTTTCTTCTGTGAACCACTGGTTTCCTTTTTTGAATTAATCTAATGAAAAAAAAAGTGTCTCCAGTTATCATGATATGGCCATTCAGATAAATGTCCAAAGGACATGTTAGCAAATCATCCATGGAATTGCTGCTCTTACTGAAAAGAGACACGTCCAACTTCTTAAAAGTTAACTTATGTACTTCCCCAAGTCCTGATATCTTTGAGGTCTGGGTTAATGAGTGCCAAGTTGGCAGCCAAGACACCATGGATAATTTTCAAATGTATGCAGGATTTGATGTCTCTTCCCTGCCACGTTATTCATCTGATTATTAAGAAAGGGGCTTGTGGATTAGGATTTAATGTAGTTTTAGAAATTCTCAGTGACAGAAGACCTTGGTTCTCTAGTTCCACAGTCCTGCCCTCCTAGAACAGAAGCAGTGTGTGGACTAAAGCATAATAGTCTGGTCATTGGAAAACAGGGCCCCTGCCAGCAAGACACAGACAATGAGTTCAGCAGAGATTTCTCCATCACTCACTATGGTAACGACTGTCTCTCACTAGAAAGACACACATACACACCACGCGAATCTTACCTCAACTGGGGGTGTCTCTCCCAGCAACAGGTTATTAAAAATAGTAGCATAATCACCATTCAGATTCATCAATTCCTCATGAGTGCCTCTTTCTGTAATACAGCCCTCTTTCATGAAGATCACTTCATCACAGTCAGCCAGGTACTGGAGACAAAGACAGGGACAATGTAGTGTGGCTGATTATTTGTGCAAATACATCCAAACGCCTACACCTTACTTCAGCGGGTCTCACCTGGAGATGTCCCCCTAGGGGACACTTGGCAATATCTGGAGACATTTTTGATTGTTACAATTTGAGGGCTGGGGGTTGAGGGGTACTACTGCCATCTGTTGGATAGATGCTAGGGATGCACAGGACAGGCCCCCACAACAGAGAGCTAAGACTGAGAACTCCTGCTTTAGTTTATCCTGTCTCATGATGTAGTTCAAAAAGCAGGTTCTCCAGTTTTTGATATAAATCTGCTGATGAAGCCACACAGTCTTATATTAAACTTTACATCCCTTTACTACACGCAGAAGTACATATAATTAGACTTTCTGTGGCAGAATGGGGGGTTAGCCCCCTAAACTTGACAACATATGCAAAGCAGATGGCAACCTCCTTGAGCTGCTCTCTGAAGTGGCTGCTTGTTATGGAATGGCAGAGGGAGAAGAGCTTGTTTTCCCTAAACAGTACCCACTCACATAAAGATGTTAACACAATGCTTTCCAAACTATCTCTTACCCAGACTCCATTTTCAGCCTATTCCTCTTAGCCCTTTTACTTACTGATTTATATGCAGAAGCTAACCTGCTCCAAGGATCTCTGATTCAGATGGCCATCTGGTACAACAAGCTTTATTGGTACAACGAGCCAGGAGGCTATGTGCTGAGGAAGGGAACACCATGATTCCAGGGACTTCAAGGAGCCCCATGAAGGTACCTGGACCAAGCCCGCCTCCCTGTTTCTGACTGTCCAAGTCAAGGTGGGTAGCCTGGGGAAGGAAGCACATACCTGTAACTGGTGGGTAATGAACAGAACCGTCTTGGACTTGAGATGCTTCTGGATAGCACTGTTGAAGATGTGATTGCCCACGTGGGCGTCTAAGGCACTGAGGGGGTCGTCCAGGATATAGATGTCTCGGTCACTATACAAGGCCCGGGCAAGGCTGATCCTCTGGCGTTGCCCGCCACTCAGGTTGGCTCCTCGCTCACCAATCTACAGGAGCCCAGAAAGCACAAGGAAGTCTCCAGTTCAAGTCCAGAACGACACTCAGTGGTTGCCTCAGTCACTTCTCTCTTCCACCCAAACCAGCTCCTTCTCTTCATTTCCCCACCTGGATGGAATGCCACTGTATCCTCTAGGGCCCACACCAGAACTGGGTGTGTATCAGCCCAAATTGCCTCCTCCTCTCCCACAACTATCTGGTTATTAACCAACCCTGTGTCTGAGCCTTACCACATCCTCTGGATGCCCCATTACAATCCATTCTCCATGGGCAGAATGACTTTTCCAAAACACAAAGCTGACCATCTTGCTTAGTCCTAAAGGACAGAATCTAAGCCCCCAGATATGGCAGACAAAGCAGGCCCTTTACCAACTGGCTTTCCAGCAACTCTTAGCCTCCACTGTCAATGCCCCTTCTGTACCCTGGGATCTGAGCAGGTGTGTCTGCTCAGTTAAACTGTGTGTCTATTATGAACACGCCTGACTACTGTCATGCCTTCTCTTGTACTTGTCTGCTCAGTTCTGGCATCCTCTCCTCTGTGAAGCCTACCCTCCCCTTCTCCACTAACATCCAAAAGAAAGGCAACTCTTTCATCACCTTATTTTGTGCCTATTTGTCAGGATGTCTTTCCCAATTGTAAGCTTGCTGAGGATACAGATTATTGTCCTTTTCTTTTATATTCCCAGGGCCCCCAGAAGCTTCTGCACAGGCAGCTGGCACATAACAAGCACTTAATAAATGTTACTAAGTGAAAAAAAATCGACTGTCAAACAGTAACTGGCTCTGTTTTTTTTTTTTTTTTTAAATCTTGTCCTTAAAAAAAATTCAATTAATTCAGAGGTTTTCAAATAAGAGCATATATAAGAATTATCTGCAGGGCTTGTTAAAATGGACTGAGGGGGCCCCATCTCTCGAGTCATGATTCAGTAGGTCTCTGGTGCGGCTGAGAGTCTGCAGTGATGTTGCTGATGTGCTGCTAATCAGGGGACCGGGATCTGAGAGCCAATAAATTAATCAAACCACTCCAATCTGGTTTGAGGGCTTAAACAGAAGTCAACTGAATAAAAGTCGGCCCCAGAGACCTCAAGGGCAGGTCATGGAAGATGAGCATTAACACGGAGAGCCAGTTCCAAAGACAAGCCTCAGGGAACTACTCAAGGGCAGAGAAGCAAAGAAAGGCAGCTTTATGTTAAGGCCTCTTTCTTTCTAGAGGGAGTCAGCTCTCTAGAGAGTTACATGAGTAAAAAGAGGTTGGCAGAAGAAAGTTCAAGGAATCTCAACAGGCATATGATTGAGTAATGGTTTTAAATATGAATAGTGCAGAAAATATGAACTGTGAACCAACAATGGGATTTTGTTTAAAATCCACAACACATGAAATTTATGTGCTTAAAACAGGCAATTTTGCTATCCCTGCCCTAAGGAACAAATGTATCCCTAACATAAAGTCCCAATGAAAGCAAAACTCCTGTGAAAGTTCTTCTCCCACAATTTAAGGTGCATGCCTAGGAGGCAGTTCTGGTACAGCTCTGCCCCCCAAATACCAGAATCCTCTCCGCTAAACACCCTGGCCCACCAGGGGCAGAAAGCCTGTACCTCTGTCAGGTCACTGTGGGGAAGGATGGCCAGGTCAGGCCTCAGGCAGCAGCAGTTCAGCACAGAGTTGTATCTGAGGGACACAAGAAGACCCAGAGTCAGGGGCATGGTTGGGGTAGAGCCTGCTGATGTGGGCTGCCTTGCGTCTCACACGGCCAAGAGGAAAGCATGACAGAAATCAAACATTCCTTGCCTTTCTTCATCAAATTCCTTCCCAAAGAGGATGTTGTCTCTCAGAGTGGCATTGAGGATCCAGGCCTGCTGGGCCACATAAGCGAAGGTTCCATTGACTGCAATGCTGCCCTCTAGAAGTGTCATCTAGGGAAACAGACACCATCCAATGGCATCACAACACAAAGCCATCACCCTGAGTCAACAGAACCCCCCACGTTCCACAAGGGAGTTGAAAGTCTAGTTGGTTTCCTTGGATGCTTTTGGAACCCAAATCCAGCTCTCACCTTTGTTCCACAGCAGTCAAGAAAATCAAAGTTCTCCTTGCTTATGTGTGATGGGAGCCCAGCATAACCCATGACTTGAATGAATGAATATTTCATTCAGCAACTCATAAGCTACTTTATCATCCTTTCTTCCTAACTGCAAACTGTTCTAATTAAAGGAACTCAAGCAGAAGGCCCTTACAGAATTCCCCTGGGGAGGATGCTGCAAAGATTTAGAGCTAGTCCCTGCCTGAAGATGAGGGCAGGCCAACTCATCTACAGAATTAATCCAGCCTGTTGGCTGGGTCAGCTGCTTTTGTAAAATGAGGACCAGAGGGGGGAAAAAATTCCAGTTAGACATTAATTAGCATTATAGAGTATTCACATAATGGTGACAGACCCTCCACTCCAATGTGACGAGATTACACGATAAGCTGTGTGCTTTGAATTATGTTTTCAGTTGCAGAGATTGACATGAATCAATTTACTCATTTTACTCTTTCAGGTTTCCTTTCGAAGGGACTAACAGTAGATGCTTGTCTTGGATTATGAATGCTATAGCTTGAAACGGTTTCATGAACCAATCTGCACATACAAGCTTGTCCTCTCAAACACAGTAATGCACAGCGGACACACATAAGACTGTAACATACTGCCAACTGCCCACAAACAGGTAAGCACTCTCACAGATAATGCATTCAGAGTGTTCAGAAACCTGGAGGGTCTACTGTGGAAATCCAGCTCTTCCAGCTGCTACAGTACAAACACCCCACAATGCAGACCACCAATAAGGAGTTAAACTCTAAAGAAGCAGGGCTGACAAGTAGCCCCTGCCTCTCTGTCAGGATTTGATCCAGAAGCAAAGACCCACTCAGTTTTCAATTTAACTGCTGCCCACTAGCCCTCCCTTTCAGTCCACCGGTGTCTCTCATCACTGGCTCTGAAATATGGCTGATGATCAGAAATTATGTAGGAGGTTTTTGGCTCTTAGCAAACACCAGTGGCTGAGCCCAACCACTGCACAGTCTCACAAGGCAGAAGGGGTAGGGGTGGGGAGCTGTCCCTCCCGATGATTTGGATGCAGTTTTCCTCAGACCACCCTGAACACCTTTGCTCCACCAACTGTGACAATGATGCCAAACAAGACAAAATAACCCATAGACTGGATGCTACATGAAAATCTTCCCCAATCCCTTCTCCTATTTGTTTAATTTCCTCAACATGGATAAATGACTCAGAGGACCTTATCCATCAGCAGGAATAATCTTACATTTATCCTCATCTCAACCACCTAAGCCAAGCTCATTTAATCCAAGTTTAGAAGCATATGGGGTTTTGCTTTATTCTTCCGATTATTTGGTTTCTAAAACATAGTAGAAGATAATCTGTCTTAGCTGGATGATCCCCACTCGAAATGCTGACAGCCCTCTTCTGGGCCCTCTGAGCACTGTTCACTCACTACCTTGGGCTGTGCTAGTATGTCTAGAAGGCCTAGCACCCCAAGCAAACCATGAACTCCTTGAGGGCATAATTCTTTCAATGGTTAGCTTGAAAATGGAGTAGGTCTTTGTTTCTAGATCAAATCCTGAAGGCCATCTTTCTGACAGGGAGGTTGGTGAGGCTGGTCCATTTGTTGGCAGTCTGCAGTTTGTCAGTCTCTGACCTCTGACATTCCCCAACACGCTGTTCTGGCACACCTGTGGCACTCAATAAATACGTGCTGAATAAAAGAAGGCACGAGGAACAAGTGACTCCAGCTGGGTATCAATGGGTCCAGGCGCCCACTGAACCACATCCCAGATACAATGCTGTTGTTAAGGGGTAGGAGTGGGTGGGGGGAGGGGGCGAGGAGTGGCAGGAGCATGATAACAGACCAAGGGTCCTTTTGTTTCCACCTTTCCTGACTCTCTTCAGGAAATAAGTCTATTTTTCCTGAGACTCTTGTTAAGCAGAATCCAGAGAAAGAAGCAGAAAATGCCCAGGACAACAACAAAATCTTACCTGGCCTAAAATGGATGAAATGAGAGAAGTTTTTCCACTTCCCACACTGCCACAGATTCCAACCAGTTTACCCTGGACAAAGCACATGAGAGAGGAAGGTCATTAAAGGAGACTGACCATTCATGTCAAGGACTTTGGATTTCTTTGAGAACAAAAAACATTAGTGACAGTTCATCACTATGGGAACTGTCATCCTGAGGATCTAGCAAGTCACTTACCTCTTTTCTCCCTCATCAGCCACCCACGTCATAGGGTTTCTGTGGGGATGCACTGAGGTAATAGATGTGAAAGCCTTTTAGAAAATTTAAATATGCCACAGGCATTAAGGTGTCCCACATAACTTTTAGAAAGGCCTAAACCTTTCCCACTTTGTTGGCAACCCATGCTCTTTGATAACTTGTTTGTTTTTATTGATGGTTTTGAAAGAGGACAGGACTCTTAAAAATCATTTTATTTTCATTTTATATGATTTTTTTCCTCAGGGTCTAAAAATCATTTTGAATAAAAACTAATTGCAATGTGCACTGTTGTTTCCATTTTTCTTTTTTTAATAATTATTTTTATTTGGCTGCACTGGGTCTTAGTTGCAGTATGTGGGATCTAGTTCCCTGGCCAGGGATCGAACCTGGGCCCCCTGCATTGGGAGCACAGAGACTTAGCCACCAGACCACCAGAGAAGTCCCTGTTTCCATTTTTCTACAAACATTTCCAAGAATCTGAGGGCATATTTTTACCATCAATCCCACATGAAAGTAGAAAACCAAGCCTGTGATACTGAATATCCCCAGGCAAAATGATGAGTTCTCCATGGGCAGTATTAACTGTTTTCAAGAACAGACAGATGATGTTAACAGGGCCACTTGTTCAGCAACACTCTATCGGCCTTAAGCCTGGCATGGAGGAAGGGGATGGAGAGTGGTGTTGTGGAAAGAACACGGATTCTGGAGGCAGATAGGTCTTATAAAAGTATTCTTGACAAAGTTTTTGACATGGTCCAGGGGGCTGAGAGATTACTAACCAGTGGTTATAAAGAGACCAAGTCACAGGCTTAGACTCTGCTCTGGTCAGTCAGGTTAACACAAAGAAAACTCTGTTCTGATGACTAAATGGTGGCTAAAGAAGATGTCAACAGTGAAGCAAGTGCCTGGGATACAGAAAACATCAGGCAAATGTTAACTTCCCTCCTCTTCCCTAAAGAGAGAGGCTGGGGGAATAATAGCTAAAGGTCTGTCATGTGAACATGGACTGTAAAGGGCAGAAGGAGGGTCAACAGATAGAAAGGAAAAGAGTAAACTTTATCTGATTACAAGAAATAATCCTCTAGTAGAGTTGATTAGCAATGTAATAGAGTTGCCTCAAGATAACCATTATTAAATAAGAAGACTGCTGTTAAAAAGTTAACAGTTAAAAAGTTAAAAAGTTAACTGAAGTAAAAAAAACTGACTTGCACGCCCTCCAATGATGAGCCATGCTAGTTGTTTCATGTGGTCTCATCCATCTCCCTCTTGTCTGTAACTTCCAACAGCTAGGAGCTTTTTGTTTCCCTTTAGTACAGCTCTGGATCTGTGTAACATGCCTCACTATACAGTCCAGCTCTCACAACCGTATGTGACCACTGGGACGACCATAGCCTTGACTATACCTTTATCAACAGCATGATGTCTCAGCTTTTCAACACACTGTCTAGGTTTGTCATTGTTTTCCTGCCAAGAAGCAACTGTCTTCTGATTTGATGGCTGCAGTCACCTTCCACAATGATTTTGGACCCCAAGAAGAGGAAACTGGTCACTACTTCCACCTTTTCCATTTCTATTTGCCATGCGGTAATGGGGGTGGATGCCATGATCTTAGTTTTTTTTTTTTTTTTAATTAATTAATTAATTAATTTATTTTTTTTTTTTATCACAACCATAGTGTATCTTTTTTTTTTTTTTTTACATGTATTCCCCATCCTGGTCCCCCCTCCCACCTCCCTCTCCACCCGTATCCTCTGGGTCTTCCCAGTGCACCAGGCCCAAGCACTTGTCTCATGCACCCAACCTGGGCTGGTGAACTGTTTCACCCTAGATAATATACGTGTTTCAATGCTGTTCTCTTGAAACATCCCACCCTCGCCTTCTCCCAGAGTCCACAAGTCTGTTCTATACATAGGAGCCTCTTTTTCTGTTTTGCACATAGGGTTATCGTTACCATCTTTCTAAATTCCATATATATGTGTTAGTATACTGTAATGGTCTTTATCTTTCTGGCTTACTTCGCTCTGTATAATGGGCTCCAGTTTCATCCATCTCATTAGAACTGATTCAAATGAATTCTTTTTAATGGCTGAGTAATATTCCATGGTGTATATGTACCACAGCTTCCTCATCCATTCGTCTGCTGATGGGCATCTAGGTTGCTTCCATGTCCTGGCTATTATAAACAGTGCTGCGATGAACATTGGGGTACACGTGTCTCTTTCAGATCTGGTTTCCTCGGTGTGTATGCCCAGAAGTGGGATTGCTGGGTCATATGGCAGTTCTATTTCCAGCTTTTTAAGAAATCTCCACACTGTTTTCCATAGTGGCTGTACTAATTTGCATTCCCACCAACAGTGTAAGAGGGTTCCCTTTTCTTAGTTTTTTTAATATTTAGTCTTAAGCAGGCTCTTTAACTCTCCTCCTTCACCCTTATCAAGAGGTTCTTTAGTTCCTCTTCGCTTTCAGCCATTAGAGTGGTATCATCTGCATATCTGAGGTTGTTGATGTTTCTCCTGCCTGTTTTGATTTCAGCTTGTAACTGTAAAGAAGGCAGAATGCCAAAGAACTGATGCCTTCCAACTGTGGTGCTGCAGAAGACTCCTGAAAGTCCCTTGGATAGCAAGGAGATCAAACCAGATCAGTCTTAAGGGAGATTAACCCTGAATATTCACTGGAAGGACTGAAGCTGAAACTCCAGTATTTTGGTCATCTGATGCAAACATGACTCACTGGAAAAGTCCCTGATGATGGGAAAGATTGCGGACAGAAGAAGAGGGTGTCAGAGAATGAGATGGCTGGATGGCATCACCAATGCAATGAACATGAACTTGGGCAAACCCTGGGAGATGGTGAGGGACAGGAAGGCCTGGCGTGCTGCAGTCCATGGGGTCGCAAAGAATCAGACACGACTGGGTGACTGGACAACAACAACATGCCTCACACCACATCAGAATCCCTGAAGACCACGCCCAGTGAGGCAGATGAACATTCCTTACCACCTCTGTCACCACCACCTTGGTCCAGAAAACTCTAATGCTTTTCCTTGGTTCTCCTGGCTTCACTCCCTGTTCTCCTACACTCTTCTGAATCCAGAAGCTAGAATGATTCTCTGAATCTGCAAGTCAGATCACATCACTCTTCTCCTCCAGTCCCTCTAGTGGCTTTTCTATCCATTCAGAGTAAAGCAGAAGTCATTACGAAGGCTCTGGCACGCCAATCCTCTCTGCTTTCAGCACCCTCCCCTCTCTCCCACGCTCACTCTGCTTCTGTGAAAAGCACAATTAACACACTCGGGGCTTTCGTGCTCTGTTCCCGCTGCCTGAATGCTCTTCTTCCCCCATGTATCCTCATGGCTCATTCCTTCAAGTCTTTGCTCAAACACAGGCATAGCTTGCACATACTGCAGGTCTGGTTCCAGACTATTGCAGTAAAGCAAATATTGCAATAAAGTGATTCACACAAGTGTTTTGGTTTCCCAGTGTTTGTATTAGTTACGTTTACTTTATACTTTAGCCTATATAGTGTGCAATTACATTATGTCTAAGAAACAACATGGTATCTATTTTAATTTTAAAACACTTTATTGCTAAAAAATGCTAACCATCACCTGAGTCTTCAATGAGTTGTAATCTTCTCTGATGGAGGGTTTGAAATATTGCCAGAATTACCAAAACATAACAGAAATATGAAGTAAGCAAATGCTGTTGGAAAAAAACGTCTATAGGCTTGCTTGATACAGGGTTGCCAGAAGCCTTCAATTTGTTTTAAAAAAAAAAGCATCATGCCTGTTATTACTTTTTTTTGGCTGTACCCTGAGGCATGCAGAATCTTAGTTTGAGGCCTTCCCTCAAGTAGTCTATTTAAACTGCAGTGACACCTGCTCTCTGTCCATCAAGCCCTTCATCCCCTTTTCTTTGTAGCCCCTTTACCTGTTTACCATCTGCCTTTGCTCAGAAGAAGGCAAAATCCAAGAGGGCAGGGATTTTGGTTTCTGCTGCTCTAAAACAGTGCCTGACAGACAGATGGCACACAAAATGGCTACAGAGACTTAGAGAACGAATTTATGATCACCCCGGGGGAAGGGTGGGGGGAAAGGATAGTTAGGGAGTTTGGGATGGACATGTACACACTGCTATACTTAGATGGATAACTAACAAGGACCTACTGTATAGCACAAGGAACTCTGCTCAATGTTATGTGGCAGCCTGGATAGGAGGGGAGTTTGGGGGAGAATGGATACATGTATATGTATGGCTGAGTCCCTTTGCTGTTCACCTGAAACTATTACAACATTGTTAATTGGCTATACCCCAATACAAAATAAAAAGTTTAAGGACAAATGGCTGTGGAGTGAGCAGATATATATACCCCTGGGATTTTCTGGATGCTGCAGCCCTCAACACGCTGCTGGCTCCCAGTCATATTCTGTAGGTTGAGCCTTGAAGCTGGAGTGTCTCTTAGTCACTCCCTATAGGGAGACTTCTGAGACACTCTAGTCCTGGGCTGTAACATCATATACCATAATGGCCTTTACTTTCATTAAAAAATAAAGTTACAATAAAACTGCTGATGACAGCATCACTGGGAGTAACTATTATATGCCAGGTTCTGTGCTATGCATAGCCCAGTACTAATGAGCAGCTCACACAGAGTTATAAACAGAAATCATTATTATAGCTCACATATAACTATAACAATCAAATCTCCTCAGGGCAAGACTGTGGAAAACCCACCTGAATGCTTCATTTCCTTGTTTACAAAATGAGTATCTCATGAGAGCATTTCTAGAATTCATTTCTATTGTTATTCATTTCTATTGTTAAATTCCTAAGAGTCCCTTCTAGAGTGGACCTGGCCAGGTTGGCTCTTTGGTGCAAAGAGCCACTCCCAGCCGTCACCCCCAGCCACGAAGCACTCTGCTGAGAGGGCCGGCAGCAGCCTCCTCTCCCCAGAGGACACCCGGGAGGCGGTTACCTCTTCGATCTCCAGGTCGATGTTGTAGAGCGTCCTCTGCAGGCGGAGGCTCCCCAGGTGGATGTGCTTGCCCTCGTCCTCCTCAGGGCTGGGCCGCTCGTCACTGTCCAGGAGGAGGTGGCCCTTCTGCTCTGCCAGCACCGCCTGGTGCTCAGTGCGCTGCAGCTGCCTCACCTTCTCTTTCTTGCCCCTGGCAGCCCTCTTGTCTTTTTTCGTTTTGGGGGTCAGCTTGGGTGAGTTCTGGATACTGGAGTGGGAGGAGTCCCATGCCAAGGTGGCATTTTTCATCTCTATCGTGAGGTGAGGGCTGGCTGGTTTTTTCTTTATCATGTGAACCTCTTCCATTAGAAACAAACTCTGATAGGAGTTGTGAGAGAGGTGCAAAGATGAGACACTGGATCAAGACCAGGGAGACAAGCCTAGGGCGTACACTCACGTAGCAAAACACATCAGGCTATACAGTGGAAGGAAGCTGAAGGGCAAAAGGTAGCTCATTAGTGTAGCCCAGCCTCAGGCCCATGGAGAGGTCACAGGAATGTGGGGACACCCTCGGGAGGGACAGGGGCCTCCTCAATTGGCCCACACTCTGCTACCGGTTACATGCTAAACTCTTCTTTCCTTTTCCACCACTCTCAAGAGGACCAGGGGATATTTAACTGACCGGTCTGCAGCCCTCTGTTCTCCTTCAGGAGCTGCTGAGTAGTAGGCAGTAAAATGTAAGCAGGAAAACCAAAGGGCACACTGCTCTCCTGCCCTGACCCTCATCACTCTGCCATCCAGACCACTCCTGCAGGGCCCCCACGCCTGGGCACTTTCCTCACGTACCACATGGCACATGGCATAGGGATAGGTTGAACTGAGCTGATGGCCAGGTCTAGCTCTCTCCAGTTAGAAAGGAGCACCTAAGGTTTGATCGACAACAGAGTACATCTTCTCACCAACAAGTCCTACATTGGAACTTGTGAGAATTCAAACAAAGGGCTTGCATGAAAGGGAAGGATATCTCCCTCAGACACACCATTGAGAAGAAAGCAAGACTCTTCCCTCCCACCCATTCCCCAGCCCCACTGAAGCATGTCAGGGAAAGAAAAGAGGAATGCTTGAAAAGCTAAATGTCTTGGAAATTACATTGGAAACACTGACCATAATAAACCTCTGCCCAGAACCAACATGTGCCCATGACTTTGAACCCACTTCTGACACCTCCCTTAACTAAGTGATCCTCTCTATAGGATGCTATACCAGTTGGATTCCCAATATGATTAAACAATTTTTTTTTAAACGTTAGAAAGTCTTTAGAAAAAAGATAACTTTTAGTGGCAGGACTCTTTCCTTAGTCACTTCGTTACCAAGAATCCCTAACTACTTTAAAAGCCCTTTAAAGTTTGCAGGTGCTATTAAGTGTACAACATAATCCCCTTGCCTGAGAGCAAGCCCCTTTTCCTAAATCCTAAACTCCTAAACTTGGTCTTTTCACTCCTAAACTGCCACATCTCCTACCCACTCCTAATCCTCCATCTTCCCGGAAGTGTCATGTTTCTAAATCTGGATAATCTTCGCTCCTGGTCAACCTTTTAAAAAAAGTAGTTTAAAGTTTAGTTTTCTGAAAAGAGCCATTGGTTTCATTTGTTCAGAGCCTTCCTGAGAAGACTGCACTGAGAATAACATGCCAAATATTCTGTCCACCTTCACAGACTGAACCACATGCTGACAGAATTCCTGTCATTTCTCTCACCTCAAGAGTTACTAAAAGGATCTCTTAGGGCTCATGTACTATAAAAACTAGGCTATTGCCTCTGACTTGCACAGATTGTCCACATTTTTCCCTTCCTACAGGCTCCCCACAACCGCGTACTCCTCCCAGGAGGATTTCAGCCTCAGTCACTCTGCCCCAACACACTGAGGCACACAAGGGCCTCACGCACCTGAATTCATATCTACGTGGATTTGCACCTGCCAGCCAAGAATCTTAGAGGTACATAAACCATAAACCTTAGTTTCACCAGAGGACGACGACCATCCAAACACTATTCTCAGTCACTGAAACAATCAAATTGGAATGTATCTGTTGAGCAGAAGAGGGGACTACTCATAGAGTTCCCAGATAAAATACAGGACGCCTAGCTAAATTCTGATTCAGGATAAACAATGACTAATCTTTTAGTCTAAGTACATCTCATGCAGTTATTAACTGGGTGTCTAGTGTTTTTATTGGCTAAACCTGGCAACACTATAGTGGTGACTGTCTTATCAGAAAAGTTATAAGCTGGCTTCTCACTGCCTTTCTATAAGTTATCATACTCCTAGAAGTAGAGGCGGGGGAGGAGGAGAAGATTGACAAAAGGAACTAGCCAGAATGCGACTCATTCTCATGGGGTATATAGCAGAGCTGTGGGTGGTTTTGCTTCTATTATTAACTCTGAAACTTCCTGTGTAGAGGAAGGATCTATAGCGTGAAAAGCCATCTGCTAATACAAGTTCTCACTAGTAAGTGAATAGAGAGCTCTCGAGAAACAATTGAAAGTGAAGTCGCTCAGTCATGTCTGACTCTTTGCGACCCCGTGGACTGTAGCCTACCAGGCTCCTCTGTCCATGGGATTCTCCAGGCAAGAATACGGAGTGGGTTGCCATTTCCTTCTCCAATAGGAGTGAACAAATCTACACTATAAATTCCCATCCCTTCATCCAAAATGTCACCAAAGCCATTCACTAACGAAGACTGAGAAACAAACAGGGAACTAATTAATAGTCAAAACATCTGCCTTAGAGGTCAACACTCTGATTATTACAGATCATTTCAACTGATTTATCTTTAAGTTAAGGCCATTCAATATATTTTCAAATCTTGATTAATATATTTTCTTAGTGTAAAAGTTTTTATTTGGTTAGTTTCTAGCTCTTCTATTTCTCTGCTGAGACTATCTTTTCATTTCTAAGGTCTTTTTCTGATAATTCCAACATTTGGGTCATCTCGGTGTTTTCGACTTTCTTGGTTCTTTGTATATAGAGAAATTTTGGATTGTATCCTGGGTATTTTGAATATTATATTATGAGACTCTAGGTCCTGGTTTTGAATCCTATAAAAAATGCTGTGCTTTTGTTTTAGGAAGAAATTGATCCATTTAGGATCAATTCTGGTCTGCTTCCTATGGGCTGTTAAAAACAACAGGCCTCAAATAGAGTCACTGATGTTAAGCCCCAAACTTAACTACAGTTTCAGCTCTCCCAGGAATGGAATATTAAACCAGTCAATCAGGAATCACCTGATCAGCACTAGCTAGGAAACCTGCCTGAGAGACCCCTATTATCCCCTAAAGAAAAGTAACCTTGCAATAACCAATGCAGTTTTCTGCCTAGGATAACATCCTTGTTCCTGGTCCCTTCTGCCTGTAAATCCTTTCATTCTGTATGGCTCCTCAGAGCTCTTTCTACTAAATTGCATGCTGCCCAATTCATGAATCACTGAATAAATCCAATTAAGATTTTTTTCAATTAAAAAAAAACTGCCTTCATCAATCTAGATATTGTGAGTTCTGCAAAATAAAGCTCTGATTACGATTAAGTCATTTCTTTCATATGGCTCTGGAATTTGGCCTTCTAGCAACCACGTTGGGGTGATGGAGGGTTGGGCCTGGGGGGCACATTCTTGAGGACTACCTTTCTTGACCAACAAGGCTGAGAACCTTACTTTTGTATTGCTCTCAGCAGCCAAGAAGAATTAGCAGAGCTACTCTCAGCAGTGGCTTTGTCAACAGCCACTTTGCCAACAGCTGGGAGTCCAGCCACACAGGTGCTGTTTCTTTTTGTTTTCGTTTTCTTAATTACTAACCACTTCCAAATATCTACCTCCCTCCACCCTCCCAAATATATCTACTTCTTGTATCATGTATTTGTGTTATTCTGAAAGCACAAAGAACACAGCCAAGGCATGATCAACTAATCCCTTGCAAAGAAAAAAAAAAAATCCTTACTTCACTTCTCAGTATGGTCTAGCTTTATACTATACCCACATCATTGCATTTCCTGTACCATGAATGACCAACATATAGGACAGAAAAAAGAATCAAAAAGAGTTTATGACCAGCAGCATTTTGGTAAAGGTAGATGTAGATCAAGGTGAGAAAAAGCTGGCAGTCTCCTGATCATTTTAATTGCCTAGGTTTGAATCACTTAAAGGCCCAGTAAATTATAACAAATATAATGTTAAGTCCAGGCAAAAGGGACTAGCTTTGCAGGGGAACACTGAAATTTTGGGAGCCGAGAACTACATAGGCTGTCTATAAAAGGTAAAAAGTTGTATTTCTATGGACAGGCCCTCTGAGTTTTTCACTGACTTCTTTCTTACCAACTTGCCAAAAGGCTAAAGGTGAAAAACATCAAGTGTAGCCAGCCCATGTGGCCCACTGGAATAAAGGCAGCAGTTAGTTTTGCAATGGACAGCTCCTGACATGGAGGGGCGAAGGGAGCCACTTACCTTAAATCTGTCAACAGCCACAGATGCTTCTGAGAGGGACTTTACTGAAAACGGTGTAACTTTCAAAGCAAAAGTCATGGAATTGAAGACAGTTACTACTGTGAAAGCCTGAAAATAGGAAAAGAGGAGAAATTGAGCCTGATGAGGCTCTGTGGCTAAAGTAACACAACATCATCAATTTCCCCTCAGGTTTAAAGAGGGCTACAGCTTGACTGACAAATGTTGGTATGAGTCAGATATATTTCCAATATATTTTTTTAAAAATAGAAATTTTATGAGACCTCCAGTTAAAATTCTCAGTGAATCTAAATCAATTGATGATATGTATTTCAGAATTAAACCCAAAGCTGAGTTGACTAAAAACAAGCCATACACTATCTGTGTACTGGGGCTAAATCTCCATTCTTCCACTTGGATTAACTGCTTGAGTGAAAAATCCAAATCTAGCAATAAGAGAACCAGAGCATCTCTACATGTGATGTTTCTAAAATGTCTCCAAGCTTACTGACCTGTGCTGCTGTTAGATCAAAGCCAAGGGTCATGTGAACAGAAAAGGTCACCACGCTGGCGATCACCATCACAATAGGAGCCACGCCGACAGTGATGCTCTGAAAGTACCCGGCTTTTTCCAACATTCGACGTTCATCCTCTCGGATTTCTAAGGAAAAAAAGCAAGCCAGTTTCTAAAAAGCAAGTCGAAAGAAACTATGGGATACTGCTTATCTGTCACCAAACACGACTTGGTAGGTCTTTGGCCACCATGGGTTTTAAAACGACCCTGTAACATTTATGATGCAAAAAACTAGGTCAATATAACCATCAATTATAATTTGATCATGAAAGCTGGTATGCAAGCCTGAGGTTTGAAATGGATCAAGTCATAGGAATGAATCTAACAGAAAAGTCATTACTTCTCAGTACAATAATCATTTTCTGCCTTAGTCTGATTCTTTTTGCAAATTTCTTATGTTTAAAAGGAATGAACACATTAATCATGTCTGTCATTGACAGTTTTGTTTGCTTACCTGGTTGTTGATTATTTCTAGCTTAAGTACTTATGGGAAAGACTATACAACAATAATGGAGAATTAAAAAGGAACTAAGATTTACTAGGGTGCCTACTGTATACCGGGGTTAGGAAAGAGGCTTTCACACAAAAAAAGCAGTAAGGATGACTGAAAGAAGATGAATGAGATAAAATACAATTTTTGTAAGCAGAATGATTTTTCTTAAATATCTACAAAACTAACAACCTTATTAACAGAGTAACTATGCCAAAGCCTTTGACTGTGTGGATCACAATAAACTGTGGAAAATTCTGAAAGAGATGGGCATACCAGACCACCTGACCTGCCTCTTGAGAAACCTGTATGCAGGTCAGGAAGCAACAGTTAGAACTGGACATGGAACAACAGACTGGTTCCAAATAGGAAAAGGAGTACATCAAGGCTGTATATTGTCACCCTGCTTATTTAACTTATATGCAGAGTACATCATGAGACACGCTGGGCTGGATGAAGCACAAGCTGGAATCAAGATTGCTGGGAGAAATATCAACAACCTCAGATATACAGATGACACCACACTTATGGCAGAAAGAGAAGAAGAACTAAAGAGCCTCTTGATGAAAGTGAAAGGGGAGAGTAAAAAAGTTGGCTTAAAGCTCAACATTCAGAAAACTAAGATCATGGCATCTGGTCCCATCACTTCATGGCAAATAGATGGGGAAACAGTGGAAACAGTGGCTGACTTTATTTTTCTGGGCTCCAAAATCACTGCAGATGGTGATTGCAGCAATGAAATTAAAAGACGCTTACTCTTTGGAAGGAAAATTATGACCAACCTAGACAGCATATTAAAAAGCAGAGACATTACTTTGCCAACAAAGGTCCGTCTGGTTAAGGCTATGGCTTTTCCAGTGGTCATGTATGAATGTGAGAGTTGGACTATAAAGAGGGCTGAGCGCAGAAGAATTGATGCTTTTGAACTGTGGTGTTGGAGAAGACTCTTGAGAATCCCTTGGACTGCAAGGAGATCCAACCAATCCATCCTAAAGGAGATCAGTCCTGAGTATTCATTGGAAGGACTGATGTTGAAGCTGAAACTCCAATACTTTGGCCACCTGATGCGAAAAGCTGATTCACTGGAAAAGACCCTGATGCTGGGGAAGATTGAGCACAGGTGGAGAAGGGGACGAAAGAGGATGAGATGGTTGGATGGCATCATAAACTCGATAGACATGGGTTTGGGTTGACTCCGGGAGCTGGTGATGCACAAGGAGGCCTGGCGTGCTGCGGTTCATGGGGTCGCAAAGAATTGGACACGACTGAGCAACTGAACTGAACTGAACTGAACCATGGAGTACAAAAGACCACAGAGTAGGAAGTATGACAATAAAGCAGTGAAGTATTTTCAAAACATTTTCAAACACAAAAGCAATTCTTCTGAGAGGCTACACACTGACCTTAAAAGTATTACCACTGTCCCAAACACTGAGAAATATATTAAGAGCCAGCTCTCAAGCCATACTTTTAAAGATTTCATATCATTGCTTTAACATTTATCACATAACTTACCCAAGTCTCTAATGAGCAAGAATGCTCTTTTCAAGCTAATACACACAGGTAAAGATACCAAAGTCAGGAGCTGAAGGATGAGTGGAATCTCAGAAAGAAGATTAGAAAACTGAGAAAATCAGAATTTGAGAGCCAGAAGGGACCATCAGTGGTGACCCTGCCAACAACAGGCTTGGCAGACATCCTATTAGCATCCAATTGTTACATTCTATTGCCAACAAACTCACTAGTTAAAGAAGGGGCCCGATCCATTGCTGGAACTTCTGAGTGGTCACTTCCTTCTGATGACCACTCATAATTAAAGTTTATGGAGTGTCCCTGAAGGTTCACTCAACAAATCAAGCACTGAAAATAAAACAGTTTCCTTAATCTGAACGCTGTGTTTCTTCTATTCAACCCAAAACTGCACCAGCTTTTTAACTGGAACATATTCTGGTTAGCTTACTATGAGATTATGGTTGACGAACAGGCATTTCTATTATATTTAAATTAAGTTTAACTATAACTATGTCTTCTCATTTGAACTCTAAAGTGCCTTTAAATATATTTTTTCTTAAATTTCACTTTTTAAGGCCCAAGATTTCAACTTTTGTTAAGATCTTTAGGAATGCCCAGCTAAGGTGTTAATTATTCCTCCAAACTTTGTTGGCATTTACATACAACATGCTTATGTCTGCACTGAATTGATGGATCAGGGTAGGGTCAGGCACTGAAAACCTTGTAACTCAAAACAAATCAATTATCTGAAAAGAAACCAAAGTTAAAAACTACTGTGAGTGAGTGGAAGAGTGAGGCCCAGAGTCCAGCTCTCCTGAACCCCGGCCCAGCTCCTCTCCCAGCACCACCCCCAGGTTCTTACACCTGCCTACTCGTATTGCACACATTCCCAGAGTAGGGGGACAGGAGGTAGAAGTGGAGCTCTCAGCAGACACTTGCTATTGTTTTCTGTGACGGCCTCATGGCCAGACCAGAAAATCACAGGCAGGGTGACAGTATAGATAGGGGGCTTTGAAACTGAATCAAAAACTCATAACCAGATGAGTTATCTTGGGACAAGTCAGGTCTCAGTTTCCTCATTTATGAGGCGAGATCATGAGTGCCAGTCTCTAAGATCCCTATCAACGTAACGCTCATAGGATATTATAAGAACATACGATATTTTGATCCTATGACATTAGGATTCCCAGTAGCTAATGTGTTCAGAAAGCAAAGAAGCCAATATACATATATCAAGTCTTTAAACTCACTTTGTACACTCTGAGAGAATGCTTTGACCCAGGCATACATTTTAATAAATTTAATGTAGGTGAGGACTTCATTCATCTTCTGGACACGGTCATCTGTGATGGTCACACATTTTCTCCTGAAATACGCAGTGATCCGTGATACAAACATCTGAAAGGAAAAGCAATGTCATGCCAAATCAGAGCTTATTCAGAATTAAGAACTGTCTACTCTTTCTGGGAAGTAAACCCACTTAAGATTATTATAAAAGTGAGCATCCTGCAGTTATACTGCCTTTTTAAAAAAATTTAATATTTTTACTATTTATTTACTTATTTGGCTGCACTGAGTCTTACTTGTGGCATGTGGAATCCTTAGTTGTGGTATGTGGGATCAAGTTCCCTAGCCAGGAATTGAATCTGGGCCCCCTGCACTGGGAGCACAGAGTTTAGCCACTGGATCACCAGGGGAGTCCCTGTAGTGCGTTTTAATAAAAATGGTCTCTTAAATGATAATAGTACTTGACTCATCCCTTTGGAAGAAAGTTAAGGCAAATATTTGCCCTCAGAGCAATCACGGCTATCAATGAAACCAAAGGAAAGCAGGAGAGCTATATCAGTTAGCATAAGCTTGAAATGGAGTGACTCAACTATTCCTATATTACTTGGGGGCAGAGTTCACCTGCTGACCTTCTCCTCACTCACACTCTCTTTTTAAATCTCATGTAGGAGCTATTGCCTTTATTCTAATAATGTCTGACTTCCTCTGAAGTCAAAATTCTGCCTGTGTGGACTGTACACTGTTTAACTCTTTCCAGACATTTCCAAACCAGGTACCTGCTTAAAGGAACTTTCCAATCAAAGATGTGACACCTCAGTGATGTCAACTGTATAAAGCCCAACAGAAGTAATTCATCTGAGGAGAAGCTTTCAAAATACAGTAAAAAGGCTTACTCACCATTGCAGGATAAAAGAGGATAAAAACAGCTGATCCCAGGAAGCCTGTTGGTCCCAGAATAATTACATTATAAACCATGCCCAAGATGGCAATAACAGGTCCTCCAGCCAGCAAGCTGCCAACAGCAGCTGCCTCGAACATCCTCTGTCCATCGTTTGAGCACAGGTTGATGAGCTATGAGATACAAACAGCAGTGAGTGGACACTGCAAGGACACAGATGCTGGCTCAGCAGGAAGGTAAAGGACAGAGCAGGGACTCAAGGGAAGGAAAAAGCCCAGATTGCGAGCTCTCTCTCTGCCCTGAAGCCACCACCCCTCACTCACCTCACCCACAGACTTCTCCTTAATGTTCTTCAGCTTAAGGATCTTCTTAAACGCCATGGTTAGGATGGCTCCCCGCAAGCGTACCCCAGTTCGGTAATTCAACGCCCATGTCAGTGCAAGTGACCAAGAACGCACGGTTTCTGTCAGGAGGAGGCCCAGGACTAGCAGCAAGCTGTACTGGAGGTTAGACTCTGTGTCCTGGGTGTACTCCAGGAGGTGTTTCACCACGAAGGCCTACAGGGAGAAACACACACCGCCGTCAGCATCTCCACCGCACCCACACACCACAGCACAGTTTTATGTTAAGTTAGAAAGAGAAGGCATTTTCACTGTACAGTGACAAGTGCCTAAGCAGAGAAAGACCTTCTTGGAGGACCAATTACTACTGACGGCCCACCCTCGGCAATTTATGCAGGGCATTTTGCAGGAGGCAGGTCTAATTTGAAACTTTTCTTCTTTTAGGATACCTTCAAAATTGATACTCTTTCTAATGTAACATAAACCTGTCCATAAGCTGAAATTCATTCTCAACACACTGGTCATTAAAAAGTATATAGTTGACCTTATTCCAGTATCTCCACACAATGATACATTTCTTTACATGAAATTAAGACCTTTCTTTTTTTTGGATTGTTTCAAACGTGCTTATTTGATAAAAAGGAACAGTGTACCTACAGTTGGACTGGGGAAGAGTGAGAAGTGCATTTGCAAAACATTCCTGAAAATAAACATCAGCAGTTTAATAGTACAGAAGAGAGCAAATAAAGCAGACTAGCCACAATCCAGAGCCCCTCCCACGGGCCCTCCCCCATGCCCCACTCCCTCCCAAAAACAAAAACATGTTACCTCAGGTAGCACATGTCTAACACCACCTGCAGGGAGGGAAGGCAGCAGCCCCCAGAACCACCGAGTGCCACCTCCAGCTCTGAGGTCCTGCAACGCCGGAGCACACACTCACACAAGGCACATTCAGCAACAGGATTAAATACTAGGAAGTGGGAGGTCATGTACTTTTATTGAAAATGAAAAAAAAAAAGTACCATCTTCAAAGAGCATCTCACAGACACTGTACAACAGGAGGAGCATTGCGGTAACATACATGGGAACATACAGAGTTGAGTTATACAGGGCTAGCCAGCCAACAGGTCGTCTGGCCGCGACTGTTGTTTTTTAACTACACACAGTGGAAATACAGCATTGAACTGAGATCTGTTTCCAGAGTCCGGAGGAGTGCATCAAGCTGACAGCACTTAATCGGTTAGGGCTCCTGAAGTTGCAGTGAGTCTGCAATAGAGGAGATTCTTCAGGAATAAAGACCTTGCTGCTAAGGAAAGAGAGTTAAAAAATAAAACAAAACTGAAAACTCCCCAAAGGGGACTCTTGCTTAAAATCACTGGCGTATTGGGTCACTAGGCCGTGAGGAGTGACCTCTGCTTAGGACGGAATACAAAAATCTAGGCCTCAAGGAAAAACGGGTGGCATCCTTCAGAGTCTTTTCGAGTCCTTACAGCTAAAGTCGATCTTGCCAAAAATGAAACAAAACAAACCACAGCAAAAAGAAAGCCAAACCAATCCCCCTCCCTAAAGGAAGAAAACAAAATTAAGGAGAAACCCATCCACCATCTACCCCAATCCTTATAGCCTTTAAAGGGTACTGAAGCTGGAAACCAGTGCTTGACTGACAGACCAAAATGGAGGCCAGACGCAATCGTCCTGAAGCAGCTAATGCTGAATTCCAGAACCCAGACTCTCTCTGGGTGAATCAGTATTTCTTGTTTTTTTTTCTAAGAGGAAACCAGATGTTGACTAGATCCTAAGAGATCCCCACCAATCAGATTTCCGTCAAGTCTCAGTAAACAACCTGATCAAGTAAATAGGAGATTTCAGATGCCAAGAACTGTGTATCCCATCTCTCCCCTCCCTTGAATTTTTAGATTTTATATCCACTGCTTGGGTCACCACTGCACACAGCTGGGTTGCTGGTTTACTAGCAAGAAGGTTGGCTTCTTTTTCCAGTATGCAATCCAAAATGTGGAACTGAGTCACTGAGTGGCAGGGTCAGAACCCCATTTTCCTCACGTGAAGCAACTCAGTAAGATGGCGGTGCGGTAAAGCATTTTCTCACACACCTCGGCACTGACGGAGCCGTCTCCAAAGGAAGGCGCGAAAGGACAGCAGGTTGTAGTTTGGGGTTCCTTCCTTCCCAAACCTTTATTGTGCCGCTTTTCAGCACCAGGCAATAGCATTAGGACCTCCCAGAGGGGAGGAGAAGGGGGAAGGTAAAAGACAAAATGAATGCTTACACTATATAAAACTTTCAAAGGGGAGGGAAAAGAGGAAACAGCAGATTAAAGAATTTTCAACACACACAGCGTTTTTAAAAAACAATTACATTTCAAACCATTTTGTATGGAACAAAGGAAATTAAAAGGTTCTCATGAAAAAAACCAACCAAAATTTCATCTTAAAAGCTTACAAATTTATCATTTAAATTTAAACAAACTGGGAGAAAACTCGAGATTGTCAGCATAGCTATCTGGCTGTCCATTCCCAGTGAATAAACATTACCTTACCTGAACTCTTGGCGAGAGATTCTGCCCAGCTTGACTCTCTCATTCTGACCGCAGAATACAGCCATCCTGAAAATTCTAAAGAACAGCTTCTGTCACTGGTTCCACTACAGAGACACTCCCCCCAAATCCAGATCCTGACAGCACCAAGCAAGCTGCAGCTGGAGAGAGGCTGGAAGGGCGGGAAACTTACCTCTCTAGAGGCTTTTCACTGTCCTTTCCCGCAAAGGCCCGTGAGCAGAGTTAGCATTCACCAAGAGATTGCACTGCAGGAGGAAGCCGTCTCTTGCAGATCTACAGGGCGGATGCTAATTCTTTACATACAAATCATAAGTCAGGCCTGGTCTTTTAAAACTGTTTTAATCCAAGAAGGCCACAAATCATCTCTGCAAGTTTAGCAATTTGGCCGCTCATCGGAGGTCAGGATCATACCCTTATAGATTTTGGTTCTCCATTAACACTATGGTGACCCTTAGACGCCATGTACAGAGTGCTGGTCCACTAGTGTGACTGAAACCCCTCTTGATCATTAATGTCCAGCCCTGGACAGCCAGCAGTTAAAAAAATGAAACAACACAGTCACTTGATTGTGTTTCATTAGCTCTGCATATGGCTACCAAGGTTTAGTGAGGCTGGAGGGGAGATTAAAAAAAAAAAAATATATATATATATATATATATATAGGATATCTGGGGACTCAGTTCTTACATAGATTTCTGTAAGAACAGATGAAGACAGTTTCAAAGTCCTGCCATATTAGAAAATGTGCAAAAAATCTAAAATGGATATTCTTCCAGAGGATGTAAATCCACAGATGGAAGGTATGCTCACTGCTAATAGTAATCTCAAACCCAATTCTTCAATTTCCAATTAAAAAGAAATTTGTTAGAACTGGAGCTCTGAAAAACAGAAGTTTCCATTGCTTACAATCTGAAATCTTTTTTGTCAATGAGAGACTGTGGATGGAACCACTGCTTTCTTGATCGTTCCAGGGGAAAAGTCTCCTGAAATAACACAGGCCTTAAGGGGCTCTTCTTAAAGAGAGTGAAGAAAAGGAAAAGCGTGCTGCTGTTTTCCTATTAAAGGAAGGCTCTCAGCTCTCCTTGGCATTGAGGACGCTTTACTAGAGATTAGTAATCCAGTGCACAGTGCCTTAAAAGAAGGTGAAAGAATACGCAGGTGCTCAAGGGAGTGACTGTAAGGCCCCCAAGCTGAACAAGCGTAAGTAACTTTTTATCCCAAGTGAAAAATTAAAATCCCAACAATATGAAAATTTGGGGGGGAGGTGGGAGAGCCAATGAAATTCTAGCATTGACCAAAGAGAATCAAGGAAGCCTGTATACCGTGCTACCCAGCTGAAAGAATTCTTCGAAAGATCAGAGCAGCCACCAGCCCTGTAGTGAAACAATGACAGAAGCTCTTCTTGGGGGAAGCTGGTCCTATGAAAACGTTTGCCATTTTGGTCAGTGACATGATATTCAGTTACATGGTCCCTCTTACTTAAAAACTTATACCAAAGTGTGTTAGTTTAAGGTCAATTAATAAGAAACCCAATACCAGAAAAGGAGTGTTCTCTGCTTCAGAAAAGAGATCAAAAACTTTTTAAAGGCATCAAACATTAAAAACAAAAACAAATGAACAAAGAACAACAACAAAAGAACATAACAGAAAAACTGCAAATTAGTTTTACCTAATTACCATGCATCTTAGGCCCATACTTACCAAAACCATGAACCTCCAGCTTACCCACACACGGAAAATGCACAGAATAAGGAGTACTACTGCTCCGATGCCTCAAGGCAAATATGTAGAAAATAGATTTAATCAAAGTCTCAAGTGTAAGGGCAGCACAGTGGGTGTAAGAAACAGGTGTCCAGAAAACAGTATGATGGTCACTCTTCTCCCCTACTCTGCTTCAGCAACACTAGGAAAACCAGGGCTGCCACCCCGACACCTGCCACACAGTTTACACTATAAACCAAAACTGAAAATGGACTTCAGGTTAGACTCTAAAAATCTCAACAGTCCTCCAGCTTCTTGAGGGCTCCTTTGTCACAGAACCGGCAAACATGTGACAACTCTGCCCCCAGATCTTCGCTGTGTCACCAGCACCAACTCAACAGCCTATGCCACACAACGCCACTCACAGCACAGCAAGACACACTGCCCACACACCAGGATTGTTGTTTCATGTCAACACGCAGCACGGCAGCGTGGTCCTGTGCAGAAACGGAATCACTCAGCTTCACCCCCACCCCAGGGAAGCAAGCCAGTTCCACTTCTTCTGTGGTAACATGGCCCCCTCATCCTTCCAGTTGTCACAAACCACTATTCACCCAATATCAGTCATTCCCTGGCAACAGACCTGGAGGCATCTCTAAGGTTGCTAACTAGCCCAAAGGTGAGCACAATCCCTGAAACAGAATAAGAATGTTAGAGCTGGCCATGACCGGGCCCCTGGAGACTGTCAGAAAGGATGGTTAGGACTTACTGGTCCACTGAAGCCCGCCAGCTGCGTGATCATCAGGCACACGATGGAGAGGATGAGCCTGGTGCGGCAGAAGGTCCACACAACCCTCCGGAGGGAAGCAGCGTCGGGCCCAACTTCATTCAGCTCTTCTTGCCACAGTCTCTCTAGTCTTAACAAGGGCACATGTCCTCTGTTACACATCTTCCCAGGGAATACGCACACCCCAGCCTCCCTGCTGCCATCACTCATACCAGTCTCTCCTTTAAAGTTATGTACAGAGTCTTCACCTTCTGGGGAAAAAAGACCCTTCCTGATAACCACATATTTACCCTGTATAGGCAGCCTCTCAGGATTCAGAAAATGATGAGAACCAAAGTCTTTCCTTCCACCCACAAAAATTATCCCTGAATAGAATCTGTCTTTCTCAAGGGTCCCCAACCCTTGCTGAAGGATCCTCTGGTAAAGTGTAAAGTTGTAAACTAGATTTTAATCATGACAATCGGCTACCACAAAAATGTACTCTGTCACAAGGCAGCAACATAATCTCCCTGCAGACTCAGGAAGAGAAGCGGGGCTGAGAGAGAGAGAGAAAGCCCGTAGTTAAAACAGGATTCAAGGTAAAATAGGAGATAAAGCAGAAGAGCAAAGAGAAAGTCACCCCCAGGCTACCCCCCTCTATAGCACGGCTCAAATCCTAAAAGGACTCAGAGTTCTGAACTTGGAACTGCCAGACCCACACTCCTAGCTCAGGCCCTACATATCCAGTCTGTGGGAGACGAGGGTGGACCAGAGACGCCTACCTTCTGCAGTTCACCTCGGAAGACTCATACTTGGACAAAGACCACACATCCTCCATCAAGAGCTCCCCCTTCTTGTGGGCTTTTCGAGCCAGAGGAGAAAGCCAAGAAAAAGTCATACAGGAGAAGAGCCCAGCATTGTCCACTGGGTGCTGGTGTCTGAGGAGAGAAAACCCAAAGCACAAAATTGTTAACACACATGGAGAGGCAAGCCAACACTTAAAATATGCTGTTTAGTTAGTATACAGCACTCTTGACAATGGAAACAGTGAATGATTTTATTTTTTGGGTTCCAAAATCACTGCAGTCCGTGACTGCAGCCATGAAATTAAAGGATGCTTACTCTTTGGAAGAAAAGCTATGACCAATCTAGATAGCATATTAAAAAGCAGAGACATTACTTTGCCAACAAAGGTCCGTCAGTGAAAGCTTTGGTTTTTCCAGTAGTCATGTATGGATGTGAGAGTTGGACTATAAAGAAAGCTGAGCACCGAAGAACTGATGCTTTTGAACTGTGGTGTTGGAGGAGACTCTTGAGAGTCCCTTGGACTGCAAGGAGATCCAACCACTCAATCCTAAAGTAAATTAATCCTCAATATTCATTAGAAGGACTGATGCTGAAGCTGAAGCTCCAATACTTTGGCCACCTGATGCGAAGAACTGACTCACTGGAAAAGATCCTGAGGCTGGGAAAGACTGAAGGCAGGAGAAGGGGCAACAGATGATGAAATGGTTAGATGGCATCACTGACTCAATGGACATGAGTTTAAGTAAGCTCTGGGAGTTGGTGATGGACAGGGAAGGCTGGAGTGCTGCAGTCCATGGGGTCACAAAGGGTTGGACATGACTGAGCGACTGAACTGATACTGATGACTAAACTCAACTTTCCCCAAATAATTTTAGCCCAAATTTTTCTGGTGCTTCACAAACAAGCCATTAACTAGCAGAACCTCTTACTTGGAAGTGGTCCGGATGGGCTTCAGAACACTTAAGCTATGATGGTACTTTCCCTTGGGATGTTCCTCATCCAGTATTCTGAGCTGAGAATGCATGGAGGGGTCCAGGGAAAGGCCCTCTGCTCGGGCTGCTGTTTCCAAGGCATCCTGGCAATCCAACTGTTTCAACAGAGAGGGAGAAAAAGCAAAGCACAGTTAATGAACATGAGAGAATCAGAGAGGACCAAATCTACTTGACACAACAGCTCAAACTGCAAACCTGATTCATCTCATCCAGGAAATCCCAAGGGTCAGGAGGTTAAACACTCACTTGTGTGATACGAACTTACTAAGGAACATTCAACTGGATACTTAAAACTTCTACAGTAATAGACTTCATTTATTATTATTTATTTTTTGAGCACTTTCAGGAAAACTGAGCAGAAAGTATAGAGCTCCCATAGACCTCCTCACCTACCCTCTTCTCCTCCATAATTAACATCTTATATGAGTGCACTACATTTGTCACAAGTGATGGCCCAATACCAATATGTTATCATTAACTAAAATCCACAGTTTATATTAGGATTCACTTATTGTGTTGTATGTCTTAAAAGTTATATTTTTATCACCAAAATGTTTTTTTTTATTTTTTTGTTTTTTGAAAATTTTTTATCTTTCATTTCCCAATATAGACTGAGAGTCAATTACTTCACTACTAACTGCAAATTCTACTGCCTATTTTCTATGACAGAAACTTAAAATCAACACCTCCTGCCATTAAACAGCTCTGTCAGACAGAAAAAGCCAGAATGCACACATGCCTCCCCCTTCTCTCTCTTGTCAGCAACAAGGAGTGCAGAACTGGGGCTCTCACCCTGGCTGCCCAGCTAAAGAGCTCCTATCCAGACTTCCACAAGCAGAGGGTCTCATGGGTAGAATACAAATTTACACATATTTACTACAAAGTTTACAAATACCAATTAACCATATTAATAAAAATGCATGTAATTCAAAGTCTGACTATGGCAGAAGAGGGTGGGCCAAAAATCTGGATACTCCTATGCCAGTTTATTCTAAAAGTAACCCAAAATTACTTTTTAAAAAATTTTATTTTATTGAAGTGTAGTTGGTTTATAATATTGCATTAGTTTTTACACTAGAGAAAAATGATTCAGTTATGCATACACATTCTTTTTTAAGAACTTTAGTATTGGGTATATAGCTGATTAACAAACAATGTTGTGATTGTTTCAGGTGAGTAGAGAAGGGACTCAGACATATATATACATGTATCCATTCTCCCCCAAGCCCCTCTCCCATCCAGGCTGCCACATTAAACATTGAGCAGAGTTCCATGTGCTATACAGAAGGTCCCCGTTCATTATTCATTTAGCAGTGTGTACATGTCTATCTCAAACTCCCTAACTACCTCTTCCCCCACCAGCAACCATAAGCTCATTCTGGAGGTCTGTGAGTCTGTTTCTGTTTCATAAGTTCATTTGTATCATTTCTTTTTAGATTCCACATATAAGGGATGTCATATGATATTTCTCCTTCTCAGTCTGACTTAATTCATTCAGTATGATAATCTCTAGGTCCATCCATGTTGCTGCAAATGGCACTATTTTATTCTTTTCAATGGCTGAGTAATATTTTACTGTATATATGTACCACATTTTCTTTATCCATTCCTCTGTCAATGGACATTTAGGTTGCTTTCATATCTTAGCTTTTGTAAACAGTGCTACAATGAACACTGGGGTGCATGTATCTTTTGCGATCATGTTGTTCCCCAGATATATGCCACGGATCATAGAGTCACAGATCCCCATACAGAGTGGGATCACAGGGTCACACACACATATTCTTCCTCATATTCTTTTCCATTATGGTTTATCACAGGATATTGAATATAGTTCCCCATCCTATACCATAGGACCTTGTTGTTTATCAACTCAAAGTGACTTCCGCAGTTACTGTTACAGAAGCAGAACCATTCTTTTCCTCATGAAAGGATTATAAGAACCTTATCCTTTTCTGACATTCTCACAAATATTTCTAGCAATTATGGTGAACTAGCAAGAAAGAACAGACTCCCAGATCAAGAAAAAGTTAAGTGGTGTAGCACCTGACACACTGGGGCTTACACAAAGTGGAGTCTCTATTTTCACACACTACCTCTTTCACACACAGAAGAGAAGCAACTCAAATATTAAGAAACAGCTATTTAGTAAGTCTTAAAATAGCAGTGTGCAATCTCCAACTTTATTATTCTTCCTTTACAAAACTGGTTTAGCTGTTCTAGATCTTTTGTCTTTCCAGGAGAACTAAGTTCAAGAGTTAGAAGAGTCTTATAAACATCTTTGGATAGTATGGCATCAGAAAAGGAAAACTTGGGAGGAATTTCCTGGCTGTCCAGTGGTTAGGACTCTGAGCTTCCACTGCAGGGGGCACAGGTTTGGTCCCTGATGGTGGAACTAAGATCCTGCATGCCACACGGCATGACCAATAAAGAAAGAAAGAAAGAAGTATCAAAGCTTATGTTTTTTTAAAAAAGGAAAACTTGGTATGCCATCCATTAGCATTCTTATGTAAGAGTGGCATAGTAGCATTAAGAGAAAACTAAAATCTTCACATCTTATTTCATTCATTCTTTCAACAAATAACTTACAGAGCACCTATATACAAAGCTGTCCCAGATACTGGGAATACAAGTATTCCAATTTCCGTCTTTAGTGTTTACTGATTTCATTTTATTCATTTCTAAAATGCCTAGTTTCATCAAAACCTATGAATAGAAAAGTGAATGGACTTAATGACAACAACAAACAAAATCAATATTAATGCATGATTTTTGTTCCTTTGACTATATGCATGATGTAATGTTCTACCACCTTCTGGGTAGTTACTTCCCATAGTGGAGAACGAGAAATTCAAAGGTTTTCTAAAAGGACTCAGATGAGAGCAGGCAGGCAAGGTTTCACTCCCCCAGGCATATCATGAGTACTACACCAGCATGAGAAAATGCCTGTGACGTATCAGAGACTGAGCACTCTCGTACTGTTTTTGATTTTCGAACAAGACATTCAGTATAATTTTATCCTGACAAAGAAAAACCCATAAAAGTAGTTGAAAAAGTGGCTGGATTAATTCTCATATTTTCATATAATAATAACCCATGGAGTAGGAAAGACCACCATAAGGGTATGGAAGTCTATACTGTTGATCTAAGAATTAAAAGTTACCATTCTAAGCAACCCACGTAATAAGTCACATCATATTTTTGCTATTCTTTCCTAAACTGCTTCTCAAACTGTCAATCTTGTTGCCATATCCTACTCACTGCCTAAATGACAACAGTGCAATATTTGTTGGAGATAATAGGATCCATGCAGAATCCTGTTTTAAGTCCTGCTCCATACTTGCCCCCAGCTCCTTCAAAGACAGGACTCTCTAAAGCAGCAGGTGTTTAGCTCCTGTCAAGAACTCTTGAATGATAAAATAACACTATCAAGAAAATCAAGAGAAAACCCCCTTACTCCAATAAAGCTATACTCTCTATGATCTTAAAGTATTATACTCCTTAGTCCACTGTGGAATTTTCCCATAGTTGGAGGCCTCTGTGAAGTATAGTGGTTTTGCATATGGATTTTATTTTCTTATTTTTATACTTTAGTTTATATATTTATTTTTGGCTATGCTGGGTCTTCACTGTTGCATGCGGGGGCTACTCTAGTTGCTGTGAGCAGGGGCTACTCTCCATTGCAGTACGAGGGCTTGTCATTGTGGTGGCTTCTCCTGTTGCGGAGAAGAGGCTCTAGGGTGTGCAAGCTTCAGTAGTTGCAGCACACAGGCTCAGGAGTTGTGGCTTGAGGGGCCTAGAGCGCATGGGCTTAGTTGTTCCATGGCATGGGAATCTTCTTGAACCAGGGACTGAACCCGTGTCCCCTGCATTGGCAGGTGGATTCTTATCCACTGTGCCACCAGGGTATTCCCTGCACATGGATTTTAGAAGATAGGATATGGGCTCACAGGCTGATTCTGCCACCAACTTTCTGCATATTACCTAGTCACTTTAAGCTACAACTTACTCATTTTTACAATGGTACATGCACCTACCACAAAGTGTTGAGGAGAATGAATTAAAGTGAAAGTCTCATAGTTGTGTCCGACTCTTTGTGACCCCATAGACTATACAGTCCATGGAATTTTCCAGGCCAGAATACTGGAGTGGGTAGACTTTCCCTTCTCCAGGGGATCTTCCCAGCCCAGTGACTGAACCCAGGTCTCCCGAATTGCAACCAGCTGAGGCACCAGGAAAGACTACAAGGTGATGAGAAGAATGAATAGGATAATGAAAAGTGTTTAGCAAAATACTGGGTGTAAGTATTAAACAAACATTTAATATATATTAATTACACACCAACTGATCCACCTGATAAATCTTACGGACTATCTCAACCATTGCTCTTTCCTTTAGCTTTCCCTAATTGTTTCAAGATTAGGGAATTCATTTCCTCCTTCCAATGTCTTCCCTGTACTGCACCACTGCAGTGGGATGCGTCTGGCAGGAGAAGAGCTCCTGGAGGGCAAGCTGACTAACACTTGTTTGCATCCCTGGCCCCTGACTCAGTATAGGGCCTGGCATCTATTATTCAAATGTCAACTAGAATATCTCAATATTGCTCCGCAGTCTACATTATCATCATTTAAAGCTACATGATATACCACGAAGAAATCTTCTTAACCAATCCACTTCTGTTTAGTTTCTCTACTGTTTTGCATATTATTAAGAGTGTAATAAACAATTATAGTTTATTTTTCTCTTTCTGGATTATTTCGGATAAATTCCACCAGTAGGATTACAGGATTAAAAAGTATAGCTCCTAGCAACTAGACATATATCCAGTTTGCTTGATTACTCATTATAAAATGTGTATTCCAGTGTTACTGCAAAAGAGAACTTCTATTAGCTTTAGTACTTTCAGTTCTATTTTGTTGATCCAAGGCTGCCTCTGTCCCACCTACTCTGGGACATTAGAAAGAAATAAAGGAAGTTAGGACAATCTTCTTTGCAGTCAGAGCTCATGATTAGCATATATCTGTAAAAGAAAACCACTTATTTGAAGGTGATGGGAAAATGTGGACAAAAGAACTTATAACAAACCAATATAGCA